ATTACATCATCATCATCATCATCATGAAACACACATTGCAAGCACCGAAAAAAAATGATTTGGCATAAAACATCAAAGTGTTGTGTGAATGGCTGGCTGGCTGGCTGGCTGCGTTCCTGACTGATAATAATTTTTTTTTATGCAAAAGCTAATGAAGATGATTTCTACATGTAAATGTTCTGCTCGTCATTAGAATCATAGTAATACACAAGACAAAAGAATTTTTGTGAATTTATAACTAGTGATGATGGAATGAGGAAACACAAAAAAATCAATACACCTACACACACACACACACATTTGACAAATTCTTTATAGAATAGAAAATCAATGTCTAGCAAGAGTATAAGGTTTCTATCATATCATTTTCGTATTTCATCATTAAACAAAAAAAAAATGAATTGGAATTTTTTTTCCAAGAAGCTTAAAAATCAAAATACACAGACACAAGCTGCAATGACACTATTGAATAAATAAACAACAGAGAAAAAATTTAAAAAAAAAAATGATAAATCGATTTACATATACAGAAAACGTCATATATATATTTTTTATGACTAAAACAAAACAACAAAAAATGTATCGACAATATTTCATTCTATACCATCGAGAAAAAAAACATCAATCAATTTAATCAAGTTTATATTCGCGTTCTCTTTCAATGAATTTACATCATCAAAATGATGATGATGATGATGATGATGACGTTAGTTACAGAGAAAAAGAGTTAGGCTCATGGGAGAAGTTTTTTTTGTTTGTTTGTTTGAGAAATGAAAGAATCGGTTAATGGTAATGAATCATTACATATTGAATTCATTCTAGCAATCAATTTTTTCAATGGAATTTTTTCTATTCTATTGAATCACAGTGCAAGTATTAAATACACACAGACACACAAACATTTGTTTGATTTACCTGTTTCTACACACACACACAAGCATACAAAAAGAAACTGTATACATGATAAATAATGAGAAAATGCAATCAAAAACTGGAAAAAAATCAATTAATCATTGAATCTATTATTCTCTTTTTGAATGAATTCGATGAATTTTTTTTCGCTTGATCGAGGACCATCATCATCATCATCAAAAAGAACGGTATGAGAATGATTTGATTATTTTGATTTCCCAAATGAATTTAATTGAAATTTGATTGTCACATTGAAAAAAAAGACATGACACAAAACAATTCAATTCAATTGACACACACACACACACACACACTGGTATCTTTGCACCGAAAACAAAAAAAAAATTCCAATTCTATTTCGCCATAAATAAATGATACTATATATCACACATTTTTATCACATTGAATTGAATTGGATTTTTTTTAACCCATTTGTCATTTGATTATTTTTAACCTTTGTCGATGTCGGTGTGTGATTAAGGCCAGCAAAAAAAAACAAAACTGTTTGAAAACACACGATGAATGAATGTGTCAAGAGAAATCAAAAGTCAAAAACAGATGTCTAGTTTTTGTTAAATGTTCAGCAAAATAATAATGAAAAAAAACGATTGTGTTGATAACATCATTTCAACAACAACGAACAAAAAAAAACAATTTCAAAAATTTTTCCTATAAATGGCCAACGACGAACAAAATAGTTCAAGCCACACAAAATGAAATCTTATCATTTACTGAATCTCATCATCATCATCATCAACTTTGAAAATCATAAATCACTAAAATCTTAATTCGAATCAAATTTATGATCAATGATAATCATTTATATAATATTAAAAAAAAATGTCAGCACGAATATAACCTAACCTAATAATAATATGATGCTGGTAGTGGTAAAAAAAAGGTGTTAAAGAATAGATCCAGATGGTTCTCGCTCTCTCTCTCTCATTTATATATTGTTATCATATATGGCAAGTTAAGGTTAATAACACACAACAATAAATGGCCAAAAATAGAAAAAAAACAACATCATGATGGTCAAAAAAAAAAATTAATTATAACCTTTCTCTAAAGCCAAATTTTCAAAATAGAGTTTCATCAATCCAAAATGGAAAGATACTTTTATTATACAACCATGGTCATGATCATTATCATTTATAAAATGAAAACTGGCTGACACACACACACATTTAAGAAAGAAAAAAAAATGAATGAATGAATGAATGAATGGCGCCTAAGAAATTCAAGTGATAATGTTAGATTATTATTATTGTTAGAAAGATATTGATCATCATCATATCTTTTATTCACATACAAAGAAAATATGAATGAAAAAGAATACATTTTTATAAGGAAAAACAGGTATTTCCAAAACACAGAAAAATTTGAAAATTAAAAGAAAAAAAAGATGGTAATTATAAACTCACTATTTTTTCGTTTGTTGTTGAAATTCAAAAATGTCAAAAAAATAGTGAGAAAAAACCGAGTATAGAATATGGTTATTTTTCTGTGTTGATCAATCGAGATTGAGAGGTATTTCACACACACACACACACACACACATGAAATGACAATAAGCAAACGATTTGATATACAGTGGGTAGAAAAATAGAGCTCAAAAATCAGGTTGTTCTTGGTGATTATCGGCATCGGATATATCAATTTTTTTTATTTTTTTTTCTGTAGTTACCAGACAATTTTCATTTTTTTGTTGTTGTTGTTGTTGTCATTACATAACAACACATCAAATATAATAATGTTTTTTAATGATAATGATGGTTGATGAGGTAAATGAACGAACGAAAAGAATAATTTTTCGTGTAGAGAAATTTGGTTGGCCAGAAAAAAAACCTTTTTCAATGGATGGATTTTAAACATCATCATCATCATCAGACAACCATGATGATGATGATCATTATTATTTTATAAACTGAAAAATGACAAATTGTCGCTATAATATGACCAAATCATAAATGGACATTAACATAACATGTCGTAAATTCATTCATTTAGTCTGCACATCATTATCATTGTAAGCACACAGGACATGTAAATTTGAATGTTATTTGTAAGCTAAGCAAACAGAAAGAAAAAAACATTTCGTAGACACAAAATGAAAATGAAATATTCAAATGAGAATAAAAAAAATGCCCAGTTTATCCAACCAGTAGCAACAGGTACAAATGGTGAAAAATAAGGCGTGAAAATGGATTTTTAGAAAAAAAAAAAAAAATTATGGCCGAATTTTGTGAAAAACAAACTATTAACATGAATGATGAGTCATTCGATTGATATGACTATAATAATGGTGAATGATGTGGATACGAAAAAAAAAAAAAAAAAAACGAAAAAAAATTACCACTTACTTTGAAGATGAAATGATGATCGTTTATTTATTGAACATCCGTATGGATTTCGTTATAGTTGTCGTTTCGTTGGTTTTGTTTGATTGAATGCTGAATTTTAACATTGACAAAATAATGTTGAAATGAAAATTTAATTCATTCTAGTTTGAATTTCCAAGTAAGGTAATCATCAACAACAACAACACTTTACACACAGAGGTTATAACAAAATGGACATACGGAAGAATCAAAGGCACACAAACACACACGCATTGCACATTTAACAAACACAAACAAACAAATGTTGGATCCAAAAAGGATCCATGATGATGATGATGAAATTTCATGGACACACACACAGAGAGAGAGAGAGAGAGAGAGAGAGAGAGAATTCATTCACAATTGATTTGATTAATATTTTTGTCAGCAGGAGTGTTAAATTATTAAACTGAAAGAAAAAGATGAAAATGAAGAAACAAACCTGGTGAGTATATCGTTTCTTTGTGTTTTTTCTTTCATCATCATCATCATGTTATTATTATTTCACTGGTTGGTTGATTACGATTTTTTTTTTTATTGTGTGCTCACCTTGCCATCGTGTTTGGTTGGATGAATGTTGTCTGACCATTATCCATCGTCGTCATCATCATAATTTTTTTTGGTCATCATCATTCATGAATGGTTTAAAGTCTACCAAAAGCAAATAGCATCTTCATTCACAAAGAACAACGACCACCATTGCTAGTGTAACAACAACAACAACAACAAAACCGATCCTGTTGGTGGCCTTTTCTCTCTTCTTCTTCTTCTTCTTCTCTATAGCTTGTTGTTGTTTTTCTTGTTTTCAACATCATCATCATCATCATCATTATTCTCAACATCCCGTGAGCAACAGGGTCGTCGTCGTTGTTGTTGTCGATTCAATGATTACAATCTCATCCATCTATTCATTCATTGTTGTTTTTTTGAAGGTGGGTGCCACAAAAAAAAACTCTCGTTGGTTCAATCTCATCAACACATTAACAAACAACATATACAAAAAATGCCATCGGGCATTTCGACAACAAACGAACGAACGAAAGAAAAAAAAACCAGATGCCAATTTAATGATGTAGAGATTCATACAGGTAATATTTTACTTGTTTTTTATATAAAAATTTACCTGTCTAAGATATTCAAAGGAGGAGAAAGTTTTATTCAATGATATGAGATGAGCTAGAAACAGAGAATATTCGTTATATCCACACACACACACAAACATTCGAATACTAGGGGCCCTTGTGTGTGTGTGTGATTACCCCGTAGCTGAAAAGCAAGTCACAATTGTATGGCGGGAATAGAATTTTTTTTTCAGCATTTAGGTTACACTCCCCCTGAAGAAAAAAAATCACCTACCACTACAACTTATAATGTTGCATATTAATAAATGCTACTACTACATGGTTTTGAACAATTCTTTTGTTACGTGTTTTATGAACTACTACCACTACAAATGTTGAGGTTTTTTTTTTTTTTTCTCTCTCTCTCAACCTCTCTCTTGTGGCTTGAATTTGTGGACCCAATCCATTCTCATATATATACTGCTATATTACTTTGATTATTGTGGGCGTGAATGCCATCATTAGTCATCATCACCACCAACCACTGAAACAAGAAGAAAAAAAATTCGATTGCGCGATACACTTGTTGATTGTTTAATTTTTCAAAAAAAAAAAAAAAAAAAAAAAAAAAAAATTTGATCCATTTTAAAAACTTTTAGAATTTATGTAAACAAAACAAAAAAAAAACAAGTCCGACAAACAATTTGTTCATGTTTTTTTTTCTTGTTTACAATATGAAAAAAATCGAACGTTTAGAAAAGATGGAAAAAAATTGGCTCCAAACTTTACCAATTTACCAATTTTAGTCAGCCGCCACCGCCAACAGCAACAGCAACAACAACAAAGTTTCCAATGTCGATATATATTGCATTGCAATAATAACTCTTTCACAATTTTCACTTGATTGAGCACACAGACACACGATTATTATCATCATCATTATCATCATCATCATCATCATCATCATCACATGAACCAAACCAACCAATTGCAATTGGATAATGAATTCATGGGAATGTATTTTGTAATACTGATAATGATTTCCATGAATAAATGTAAACAAAAGTCATTAATCAGTCATTTAAATATCTAAGGAATTCCAATTTAAATAAAATGATAATTTTTACATGAGAATTTAGACAAAATATTTTTAAATTAACCGCTGTGTAAATCGATTGGTGGTTCCATTGAATTTAAAAAAAAAATCATTCGAATTCTCTTCATATATGACGTAACCGAATTTATAATATGAAACGTTATATAGCAATATTCAATATGCATGATGATCTTTGTCCGTTGTTCAATGTGTTTGTGTTTGTGTTTGTGTGTGTGTAAAACTTCTCACTCATGTATTTGTTTCGTTTACTTTGATCAACGGTTTTTTTTCTAAATGGTAAGTTTTTTTTTTTCGTTCGAAAACTAAAAATTCAATTTTCAATTCAAACAAAAACATTTTCTAAATTTCTTATTATTACTGTAGCTTTAGATTTCGTATATATATAACAACATATAATTTCAATTTCAATGGTAGTGTGCCACAAACAACCAAACACCGGCAACGAGTCAAAAATGATGGCTTCATCAACAATTTCATTCAATTCAAATCATCATTCAGATGATCAATTTGTTTTAATTGCAAAAAATATTCAAGATTCATCATTACGTGATGTTCCAAATTATGGCAATAGCAGCAATACTAATAATATGATCTCAAATTCAGTTCACAATCATCATAATGTTCATGTTTCAAATTTATCATCAAATATGAACAATAACAAGCCATCACAACAAGTTTCATCCCGTCCATCTACAACAAATTCAAATACACAACAACAAATGATGATTAGTCCGACAATGAATAGTGGTAAAAGTCGACCAAATCGCAGTAAACATTCGAATCTTCGTGATCATCGATCTAAATTGCGCCGTACCCAACAACAACAACAATTGAATTCAATTAATCAACTAAAAGAATTGGTATCGATTGATCTGTTTTTCAGTGGCTATTTTGATCCTGATAATGGTCCTGATAATCAAATTGATAAAAAATTGAATCAATTTGATGATTTTTATATTAGTCGTACTGTTTTTCCAAGCATTTTTTGCCAAAGTTGCGAAACCGTAATGCCATTATCGCAAATTCCATCTCATCTTATTTCACATTATTGTCATGCTTTGAATATGTATGAAAATGATTTTTGTCGTCACTGTTGTCGATCATTCGATACAAATGAAGAACTTCGTAATCATAAATCAGCTGCCAAACAAGATACTGATCTTTATCAATGTAATATTTGTTCATTGAAATTTAATGATTCACTTGCCTATGTTAAACATATGGCTTTCAACCATGATCTTTGTTCATTTCCATATCGTTGTCCCCAATGTGGATTCCGTTCAATGGGACGCAAATCGTTTGTTACTCATGTGGAAAAGTGTCATTTTTTGATTCTATGTCCATTTTGTTTACAACCTACCGATTTACATTTCAACGCTTTCCGTGATTCTAGTAATCGTGATCCTGAACGAGTAAAAAGAAATTTAAAGCTCTCTATCAATGATTTGATGATACATCTTGTTCAACATTTGAATATGGCAGATAAATTTGCATGTCACCGTTGTCAATGTTGTTTCTTAAGCCAAGTAGATCTCGATGATCATCAACACAATCATGAGCTTCAAAAATTGCCCAAAAAACCTTGGCGACAAATGGATTTTTCTGATGAATATCCGATGAATCATTTACCATCACATCAATCTCGTGTGTTTTTTTCATTACCCATTCAAAAGACATCTTCACGTCATTCGTCAAAATTACACAACAACAAAACACATAGTTTAATGGATCGACGAAGAACACGTAATTCGATTTCAGCCTGTTCAAAGGATCCAGAATCCGTTCAGCTTTATTCACTTGCTGATCAATTGAAAACGCAACCAGATTTAAAACTACCATTGATAATTGATGCAGTAGATCGACGATCATTATCGAATAAGAAACCGACTAATGAACCCCTTTGCGATTTTCTCAATAATAACAGCCTTTGTTTATTGCTCTATATACGATATTTGGCTCGAAAAAATAATTTCTTTTTTAATTCATCAAAAATCTACATCGCTAATCATCATGAATCAATCATGCAACAAGATGAAAACGATCATTGTAATCCTTTTGAAGTGATGAATTTACTGAAAAATTATAAATGTTCATCATGTTTTTCATCAATTCAAGATCTTAATGAACATTATACAGCGAAAACAATTTATTGTTCAGATTATTGTCCATTCAATACTAATTGTTATCGTGCATTATATTTACATGTAAAAAGTGTATATGAAAAACCACATTCAAAAATTTTTGATTCAATCGTTTTTTCAAAATATTCTGATCCAAAATGTATAGAAGATTTGGATCGTACAAAAGTAACACCAAAACATATTGAACAAGCAAGAGAATTTGATGAAAATTATTCATTAGAAAGAGAAGTAGAAGAGATAACTAGTGAATTTCCAAATGATCCTTGTCCATTCTATATTAATGTCTGTATGCAATGTGCTACTGTATTTCGTAATTTCAAACACGCCGGTAAGTTTTTCTTTGTTTATTTTTAATAATAATTGATTATTGATTAATTTCTTGATTCATTTTCATTCGTTATTCCACATGTAGCATTACATTGTATCCAGGTTGGTTTACAGCGCCCAAACCAAAATTTTAAATTGGGCCAAGTGATGAATTCACCTCAAACACATGTGATCTATCATCGAAGTTTAATTCGAGTCTTCCGTTTTATTAATGAAGAAGTTCGAGAACAAATTTTAAAAAATAAAATTCAAGCATATACGGATCTCCTAGAACCGAATCGAAATTTTAAAAAACAAAAAATAACCGATGGAGAAGATGACTTTGATAATAATGTACCTGGTCCTAGTAAACGGCCTAAAAATCAAAATACAAATAGTCCCACAAAAAAAATATATATTCCAAGAGATGAATCGGATGAATCATTATCACCGTCTAGCCATGATTCAGCTCCAGAGTTGAATTCCGTAGACCAAAATGAAAACAGTAATGAAACAAAAAAACGTAGTAGAAAATGGCAACAAAAAGATGAAAATGACAAACATAAACGAAAACGTTCATTGTCAACATCATCGTCATCATCTTCAAAAAGTCGAGGAAAACCACGACGAAATTCAACAAAAAAGAATTGATCAATGATGAAGATGATTAAATTTGAAACTAGCTTGATGAAAGTTAAAGATATCTAAATCATTTTTTTTCATTTATTCCCAAAATTCGACTTATGAATAAACTTGTCACTGAAATGAATGTTTTTTTTTCGTTCTTTTGTACCATGTTTATCATACAGATGTAATAATTTAATAAAAAATTGATTGATTGTGATTGACTCACAATGTGTTGTGTGTTCACATTTAACCGCGGTGTATGAAATGATGAAATGAACTTGACCAGAAAGAATAAAAGAAACAAAAAAATGGATCATTCCAAAATGCGATTTAGATGGCGCTTGAGAAGTCGATTTTTATTTTTTGGTAAACGTGACTTTTATCTCGTCTGTCTATGTGTGTGTGTGTGTGTTTTATTTGTCTTTATGTGCGTTATTGATTTTGACTTTTATTGTTCATAATCAAGTCTTTTAAATCTTTTTTTCTACCATTTTTCTCCAGATTGGTGATTAATGGATGACCATCATCATCATCATCATCAGCTGCAGCATCATTATTTTTCTGTACAAGAACGTGTTGCTTGTTGTTTTTGGTTCGACATATCACGATCAACGGATGATGTACAGGAAAAATTTCAGAAACGTTTTGGCCATGGAATGAAAAAATGTTGTCCACCTAGTAGACAAGAAATTCGTTTATGGTATCAACGTTTTATTAAAACTGGTTGCCTGATTCATGATGATAATGGTAATCTTGATGATGACGAAAATGTTGAATCAATGACCAATAATAATAACGGTTTGCATTGTCCACATAATGATCATCATCATCATCATGATTGCATTTTGAATTCAAATGTTGTAGCTACAACAACAAAAAATGGGAATTCTAATACAAATTTAACCATAGAAAATGGCGTAATCGATAAAGAAGATGGCAAGAAGCGTGTGACAAGAATTGGTCGGCCAAGAAAATGTTTAAAAAAATCTAAACAACGACCGCCGCTGATGACAAATGGTAAAAAACGTAATTCAAAACGAAAGTCAAAAAAATGATTGCAAAAACTCAGGGATCTCAAACAAAAAACAAACAAACAAAACAAAATTTAATCCATTCACTTTCCTTTTAAATTTTTTTCTTTGTAATCTAATTTATTATATTATAAAACTCATTCACACTCGGTATACATTTTTCATTTTTTTTTGTATTTCATTATTAAAATGAATTCGGTATTTACAATTTATAATTGATTTCTAATGGCGAAAATTTTTCAATTACGAAGAAGTCTGTCTTTGTGATTGCTTCTCTTCTTGTTTAGGTAATGATGATGATGATTCAAATAAATGAAAATTTTCTCGTTCATATTTATCATATGCTAGATCATAAGCACGTGGTCCAAATTCAAATCGAACGTTGGCTGTGGTTAGTCCGAAAATTCGCCGAAAAGCATCCAATTCAGCCATACGTTTTGCAATTGGCAATGATTCACCAGCTGATTGGCCTAATAATTTTTGATTTGAATAAATTCCCACCACATAACAGGATTCGATTGTATCGACGGCACTTTGTCGTAATATTCGTGGTTCACAATTCGAATCCGATTGATGGCCATGAACATGATCACGAAGAAAAATATCAAGATTCAAATCCATTTGATCAATACGCCATATTTCCAACGGATCACGGCCATTCAAATAAGTGCAAATGAAATCTATGACAAAATTTTTGGCATTTTGTTCACCTCGAATTTCGACCAATGCACCAACAATACTTGAAACTGTATCGGCCAATGTTTGTTTGTTTGGTGGAAATTCCGAACATAACACTAGATCTAATGACACAAATTTGGATTTGAAAAAAATATGATCATTCATTGAACTTACCAATACAGCCTATCCATTTAGAAATGTCATCCAAAACTGATGTTGACATTAGATATTGGACTAGTGATTGTATACATTCTTCTGGTGCTTGCTGAAGATGATAGCGAATATATTGTGATAGGAATTTTTCCATAAATTGACGACCCAAATCAATAAGTTCACTATTATCTTCAAGATATTCTTGCACATCTTGTACTCCTAAAGACTCTTGTTTGGCCCGTTGTTCACTAACATATGATCGATGTGTAAATGCACGTACCAAAATATTATTATTGCTCAATTCAGGTTCTTGTAATCGATGTGCAAATGCATAAAGTTCGGATGCATAATCCCAATCTTGCCATTCAGAACGGGCACGTAATCGTTCTTTTTGTGCATCGAAACTACGTTTTCGCCAATACATTTTACGCAATAATTTTTCATTCCACAATTTCATTCCACGTATTTGTGATATATTAGTATTCAATGATTTATATCTATTTATTAATTGGCAGGGAAATTTTCCATTATCTATCACCGTTATGGATGAAAATCGTTGCAACATTGTTGTTGATGGATAATAATGTTGATTCAATAAGCGAATAATTTGCTTATGATGATTTAAATGAAATGATTTTATTAATCGATTCATGATGATCGATGATTGGAAATCCCCAAAAAATAGTAATAGTAATAAATTCGGGATTGATAATAATTGGTAATTTGAAAGAATGGAAAATCCAAACAACATCCACCACATGAAATCAATTCTCATGCATTTAGATTTTTTATTCCATTTAGACACGAATCGATTTATTCGGTCATAATAGCCGATTGAATTTGCCGAATAAAAAAAATGCTTTTTCATTGCGTCAAATGTGTGTGTGTGTGTGTGTGTTTAGTCTGATAATCTATTTTCACAAATATAATAAAACAATTTAGTCGTCATCATGGATAAATATCATTTTTATCAATTAAATAAAATTCATCATGATGATATCAGATCGATAACAATGTATCAGAATCCGGTGGATGGTAGCCGAAAATTAGTGACTGTTTCACGTGATTCTGAAGCTAAAATTTTTTCATTGGATTCTGAGTAAGTTTTTTTTTGCCAATAACGATTCGATTTGTCATTTTTTCTTTAAAAAAACTTTGAATCACCTGTTTCAGCGGTTTCATCGATTTCCATGCCGATCATACATTCTTTTTGCCTACACAGATTTCTACCGTTTGTGTTATTGATCGTTCCGATTTGCCTACAGTTTTGTTCATATTTGGCTGCCTAAATGGTCATCAATATGTTTTTCATGGCCTCGAACAAAATGCTTCACAATGTATTACTCTTCATCAAAATAATGGTATGATTAGCTAGAAAAAATTCTAATTTTCCTGATGAAATTTTGTTTTTCAGTTTGTATAATTCGAGCCGATTCAACACAGACACGTATAGCAAGTGGTTCATGGGATCACACAACCATTGTATTCAAATTGGACGCACAAAATCAATTGATTAAAATGTTAAAATTGTTGGTCACCAAGAATCGGTGATGGATGTACAATTTATTCGTTCAGATTTATTGCTCACTGCTTCATCTGATCGTTCGATTGTATTGTGGAATCTGAATATAGTTCCCGGTGGTTCAGCACAACAACAACAAGCTTTTCAAGGTCATGAAGATTGTGTTCGTGGATTGTTGCTAAGCAAGCATGAAGATGGCTTCTATTCGATTTCCAATGATCAAACTGTCCGATATTGGAATATGAATAGTGGAATGTGTGAACGTACTTATGTTGGTCATGAACATTTTATTTTCAATATTAATCGATTGACCAAAGAATATTTTCTTACTTGTGGTGAAAATAATGCTATTATCATCTGGAATGAACGACAAACAACACCATGGCAGTCACTGAAATTGCCTACGGTTACAATATGGTCAGTGTTATCCACATCATCCAATGTTTTCTATGCTGCTGGTAGTGATGGAATTTTGTATATATTCACCAACCACGTTGATCGACGACCAGATGATCAAAGTCAAATGCTTTTTGATGAAATGCTAGTGAAACAAACAAAAATACCATTTGCATCAGTAGCACATTTAAAATTGTATGAAGAAAATTCTTTGGTCACTATACCACCACGAAATGATAATGAACGTCGATTGATTCGATCAATGTTGGATAACACGATTCTTGTATATGAATGGAATCAATCATGGAAACCTGTTGGTCATGTGCCTGATTATAATCAAGAAGAATTTGATCATCGTACTGGTCGTGTTCCATATAATGATGAATTTTTTGATGAAGTTTTCAATGTAAAATTGAATCAAAAAAATTATAAATTACCATTCAATCGTGAACAAGATCCATGGACCGTGGTGCAATTATTTATTGAACAAAATCAATTGGATTATGGTGCACTGACATCATTGGTACAATGTATAGTTAATTATGCTAATTATAAGCCGAAAAAAATTGAAAATGTCAATCATTTTCCCATTTTTGAATGTAAATTATGGCCATCCATGAAAAACTTGGAAGCATTTCGTAAAAAATTTGAAGAATTCAATTCAAACGTCGAAGACAATTTACGTTTATCGCCAGAATATCTTCAAATCAGCAGTACGGAAATACAAAATCCTGAAACAATTTGTGAAGAATTATGTATTGCATTCAGCAAATTAATCAATTGGCCTAAGGATATTAAATTCATTGTCTACGATCTATTACGGGTACTGTTGACAAACAAATATTTCAATACTTATTTTCTTCATCAAATGGAATCCAAAGAATTCAGACCAGGATCAGAATTTTTCAATTCAATCCTACGTTGTAATGGTGATGGAAATCTTTCCACACAATTAACATCATTACGTGTTTTAGCCAATATGTTTGCATCTGTACATGGCGCTGAATTTATGTATCGAAATTTTTCGTACATACAATCAAATATTGTCAGATGGAAAGATTTGGTCGTAAATATCAATGTACAAATGGCTTATGCATCAATTTGGTTCAATTATAGTGTATTGTTGGCCGATCACAAAAAACGTCAGAATCATCAATTTAAACAAATGATAATGGAAAAAATTCAAGAACATGATGATGAATTGATTGAATCAAAAACATATCAGCCATTAGAAGCTGATTATCATTCAGTCATCATTATCATGATGAACGCGTTTGGTAATTTGATTGCATCGAAATTTAATTCACAAATGGCTGATTTATATTTAAAACGTTTACAACAACAATATACTAAATTGTTTAAAGATAATTCTGAAATTCGTTATTGTTTACGGCAAATTGAAATTGTCTGTGATCAATATTCAATCGATTGATGATTTTCTTTTTAATAGATTGAAAGTGAAAAAAAAAAATTTCAAATTTTTCTATATCTACCTTAGCTTTGTTGTTTGTGTCGAAATATGTGTTATAAGAAATTAAAGCCACACACATTTTTTATATTTGATATTCATATATCTAAACCCCACTCATTTATATACTATTTCTATGATTCATGTTGTTCTGTTTAACATCATTTTGTGTTCATTTAAATTGATTTCAATATCATATCATATACATTGATTTTCATCAAAAAATCATTTTCTCTTTTCGTTATCAAGGTCATTTTTTTTCTTTAAAACCATTTGACTTTCAAGGTAGTTATTTTTCAATATAGAATGTAGAAATTTATGATTAATAAAGGAAACTAAACTATTTTCGATTTTCTTCCATTCAAATTAGATTGATTGATACTGTTCAATTTGTTGTTGAAATTTTACCAAGTGAATAATCTTAAAATTAGAAAGAAAATGTCTCAAAAGGCTCCGACAAAAATTGATGATAAAATAAATTTTAAATTTGAAGAAATTGTTGACGAATTTACATCTGCACAACAATCGTCAAATTCTGCCAATAATGGATGCCATAATGTCTCTGACGCTGATGATGATACAGCGGATCGAATGGTTCGATTTCTATGCTTAACAGGACGTTTGAAAACGTTACCTCGTCGTGGATGGATTTTGAATAATCGTGGTATACAGAATCCTGAATCTATCGCTGGTCATATGTATCGAATGGCTATAATGAAATTTTTATTTGATTTCCATGATGATGATAATAATGATGGTGACTCGACTGGTTCAAAAACTACTAAATTAGATGCTAATAAAGTGATGAAATTATCATTAGTACACGATATGGCCGAATGTATTGTTGGTGATATAACACCTATGGATGGTATTGATGCTGATGAAAAACATCGTAACGAATTAGAAGTCATGGAAAAACTAGGTAAATAAATCTATTCAAAGTGGTCTATTCATAATTTTTTAAAATTTTTATATCTTCACAACAGCTTCTTTATTGCCTTCCAAACAATCAAAACATTTACTTGACCTTTACCGTGAATACGATGCTCATCAATCGGCTGAAGCATTATTGGTGAAAGAATTTGATCGTTTTGATATTTGTTTGCAAGCATTTCAATATGAACAATATGAATATCATAATCATGAAAAACGAATTGTACGTTTTGATAGATTTTTCGAAATTGCCGATGAAAACATAAATCATCCATTATTGCGTAAAATGCTTGAACGAATATTCATTGAACGTGATCGATTTTGGCATGAACAGATAATGTCCAATGTAAATAATCATAAAGCTGCCAATGAAGCAATAATTGCTGCTAAAAATGATAATCTTCCAGTAGATTTGTTTGCTGCAATTTATAACAATAACGTCAACAATAGTCATAATGATGATGGTAATGATGAACAACAAACAATTAATTAATAATGATCAAAATAATAACAATGACAACGATCAATGATGCAGCAGCAGCAATCATTTATTCATTTCTTGCAAATATTTAAATCTTAAAAATTTTTTTTTTTTTTTCTTATTAATATTTAACTTTTGATTTTTTTTTATTCATATTCCACATTACACACTACTATCATATAGACATTTGCCATAAAAATAATAAAAAAAAAGTAGATTTTTCTTTTGGTTAATGTAATGTAATGTTTTTGAAAAATTTGCATTTAATTTTCAAATTTTTTTTTTGTCACTGTTGCTGCTATATACTTCCGTTATACAATGTATACTACTATAGAATAAAACATTGTACACTGTGTATATCATTCGATCCAATAAATTGACAAAATGACGAAATGGTAATGTTTTTGTTGTTGTTGTTGTTGTCTTGTATCATTCAACTTTGATATTTTCTATAAACATGACCATTTTAGTATTATGATCGTTATATTATCCATATGTGTGTGTGTGTACATAATTCTATCTATTCGAATGATGATTTTGATTGCTCGTTGTTGCACTATTATAAATGTCGAGATGATTTTTTGCGTCCAATGAAGAGAGATAGAGAGAGAGATGAAAAAAGAGCCAACAATTTCGTGAATAGAGTTCCAAAGTTGTTCCAACAACAACAACAACAAAAATCCAGTAAATTTCCTTATATAGGAGAAATGAATGTTTCCACCACCACCACCACAACAAACAAATTTTCACACGATCCACGATTACTCAGACATTTGTTTCAAGAAAAAAATTGTTGTTAAAAGTGAGGAAAAAAAATCCCAATTGATAATTTCGTCATATATAAATTATTATTATCATGTTATTAAATGTAAATCAATCGATTCCCTTCTCACCCCAGAAAAAAAAACCAAAACATTCAATAAATCCTTGAGATTGAAATCAGAAAGAAACGAAAAAAAATGAGTGGTTTTCTTCACATTCATTCGAATTTTCTCAATGTGATGAACAATTTGAATTCCATTTCTTGAAAACGTTGCCTAAAACCGTGTATTAAAACTTCAAGTTGATTTTTTTTTTATTTGGTTATCTTTTTGTATCGTCTCTCTCTTTCTCTCTCTCTTACTCATACCATTCAAAAGCCAAGTTGCTGTCATCCAAATCTAACCAATAAGCCAACCGACCAACCAAAAAAACTATCGATGTGTAGTAGTTTTTGCTGTGCATAATATGCTGCTTTGTGATGAGATAATCGAGGTAAATACAACACACACACACACACACACACATATGATGATGCTGTTATGCTCGAACATTTATTCATCATCATCATCATCATCACTTTAATTTTCATCGAATGTAGAAAAACAAAAAAAAAAGTAGAAAGTCAAGATTTTGTTAAGTTCTCTCTTTCTCTCTATTATCTTCGTAGTTGATGTTTTCGTGTCTCTGTCTCTGTGTGCGCGTTTATGTTTGGATTTTTTGTTCTTAACATTACGATACAATCCAATCCCAATCCCAATCCCAAACTTCTAGATGATTCTTATTCGATTTATAAAATAAGTATTACGACAACCACGACCACGAAACTATTGACGAACACATCCATTGTCCATCATCTAATACCTCTCCGCCTTTTTTAAATTATTAAACATTGCAACAAATCGAATCGAATCGAATCTGAATGAAAAAAAAACAAGTTCTTCATCATGCTCACTCACTCACTCATTCATTCATCTATCGATCAATCAGTTTTTTTTTCCTTTTCCATTTTTCGATCTAAATGTGAGCAAAAACACAATATAATTGTTGAATTTTGTTTTTTCGTGTTTGATGATGTTTGATGTTTAATATGAAAGTATATTTTATCCCCTTTTTTTCCACTTTCGAAACCAGCATTTTTATTATAAGAATTTGCTTTTACACACATCTTTTCTGATGGACAAATGGTAGCCACTCAAGATGAAATGGAATGATGTGCGCGCGCGCTTTTTTCATCATATATATTATTCTTGAATGAACAAATGAATGAATGAATTGTATTTCGATGCGACGATATCATCCGATATAATAAGTGGACACAACGAATTAAAAAAGAAAAAAATTTTGGGATGTATGTAACTTGGTGCAATATACAACAATCATAACAACAACATCTTGACTTGGTTCACGAATGACAACAATTTGTCGTCGTGGCCTCATCATCATCATCGTCTTTCTTTTCTTTTCATCATCATCATTATCATCATTATAACCACTCTTTGGACTTTATTTCTTCTTCATCAATTTGAAGCATCATCATCCAATATATTGATGATTTGGGTGGCTTTTATTTTATTCAGTGTGTGTGTATATGTGTTTATAATTGTAATTGATTGCTTTTAATCGTCATCAAGCACAATCGTCACAACCACCACCACCACCACCACCACCATCAATTACTGCTACAATTTGCTAAGATTATCATCATCATTCTTTTTTTATTTTCATAAAATTTTAATCATCAACCATCATTTTTTCGTTCGTTTGTTTGTTTGTTTGTTTGTTAATTTGATTATAAAAAAAAATTCATCAATAGAATCAATCAATAAACAAAAAGCAGATCGATATACGAATTCTGAATATAAATCCAATTCCAAGAAGAATTGCATCTACCCCTATCCTTACAATTACAACTACTACTACTACTACATAAATTCATGCATAATAAACTTAATTCAACAACAATAGAACTAATCATCATCATCATATGACAAGATTTATTTACAAATGTTCGATTATTATTACGATGGACACAACAATATCAAAACATTTTGTGTGTACCTAAAATCATCATCAAGTTTGCTATATTCAAACGACAACGACGACAACGACTGCTTTATCATAGCTGCTTTTTTGTCTTTTCATTAAACAACAACGACATACAACACAACATTAATTATCATTTGCCATCATCCTGTTGTTGTTGTTGTTGTTGTTGATGGTTGATGGTTGCTGCTGCTTTTTTTTTGTTTTCACCAAATTTTTATTCATTCATGTCCATACAATTTTTGATGGTTGATGAATTTTGTTTTTGACAATCATTCAATACTGTGTGTTTGTGTACGTGAATAATAAATTGTGTATGTGTGTGAATGTGAGTTTTATGGTTTTCTGTTTCATCTGAATATCCTGACATAATCGAATCATCTAAAAAAAACAAACGAAAAAATGGCAACAACAACAAAAACAACTTCAACAACATCGACGAATGGATCATCATCATCATTGAAACCATTCGTTCGAATCATTGAACAACCAGCTAAATGTGCTATTCGATTTCGTTATGAATGTGAAGGCCGTTCGGCTGGTTCAATACCCGGTGTGAATGCAACACCGGAAAATAAAACATTCCCGACAATACAAGTGTGTAATTATCATGGTAAAGCCGTTGTGGTTGTATCCTGTGTAACAAAAGAACCACCATATCGACCACATCCACATAATCTAGTTGGAAAAGAAGGCTGTAAAAAAGGTGTATGCACTTTGGTCATCGATAATAATGCCGAAATGACCTGTACATTTACATCGTTGGGTATTCAATGTGTGAAACGTAATAAAATTGAAGAAAGTTTAAAACTGAGAGAAATGATCAAAGTGGATCCATTTCGCAGTAAGTTTTTCAATAATAATCCAATTTACAGTTGACAATTCATTTCATTAATGATTTTCACACACACCCACACACATTTAGCTGGTTTTGCTCATCGTACACAAGCTTCATCTATCGATCTCAATTGTTTAAGACTTTGTTTTCAGGTGTTTGTCGAAGGACCTGAAAAAGGAAAGTTTACCGTACAACTTCCACCAGTAGTTTCGGATGCAATCTATGATAAAAGTAAACAAATTAAAGTTTTTATATTTGAATTTAAAAAATTTTTTTATTAATTTCTTCTTTTGTTCACACACATTTTACAGAAGCAATGGCTGAATTAATTATCGTTAAATTATCACATTATTCAGCTCCGTGTACTGGTGGTAAAGAAATTATTCTGTTATGTGATCGTGTAGCCAAAGATGATATTCAAGTAAGATTCGTACAGGAAGGCAATAATCAACAAGGAATCATTTGGGAAGCATATGGAGAATTTCTTGCCAACGATGTCCATAAACAGGTTGCCATTTCATTACGTACGCCGAAATATTTTGATGAAAACATTTCGCAACCAGTCACGATTAATATACAATTGCGGCGTCCATCCGATGGTTGTTTATCGCTGCCACGTTCGTTTCAAATTACACCAAGAGAACTTGATCCAGATGGATTGGTTAGAAAGCGGCATAAAAGATTAAAAGAAGAAAATTATGATCTACTGCAGGAATATATTCAGCTAGCTTCCAGGCAACAACAACAACCACAACAGAAATCATCACCACAACATCAACCATCATCGAAATTGTTAACCACAATTCCAACCACATCTTCTAACGCTGTTCCGCCATCAACTGGAATTGCGATTAAAAGAGAAATGTCACCGGGACCTGCCGCTATGCAATCATCGTCATCGTACTCTGCAACTTCATCAACAGCTGCTGAACAACAACAATTTCAATTTATTCATCATCATTCATCATCACCTCAATATGTTATGGTAATGTTTTTATCAATCAATCGTTAATTTTACTAACAAATCTAATCAATTTTATTTGATTAAATTTTAGTCGGATTCATCGATGAGTCCATCATCAAGACCACCATCACAATATCAATATCAAGATCATCAAAGTTCCAATCATGTAATATTACCAACAGCATATAATACCTCATCATCACCTTCCAATTCGTATGAAGCAACACCGATAACTAATCAACATCATCAACTTTTACATCATCATCATCATCATCCACAATCTACTCAGCAATCATCATCGTCTTCGATGGCCTATGCATTGGCCGCAGCAGCAGCAGCTTTGGTCAACAATGGTGGTGGTACATCGGGACAATCTCCATCACAATTCCATCATCAACAGAAATCATCACCTAATCATCATTCTTCTTCATCACCAGTAACCACACATCAACATCTTCAGCAACAACAACAGCAAGAAATTCCAAATGAAGTAATGGAAAGATTTGATTCACTTGATATTGATTCATCGGAATTGATACCTGATTTAGATTTCAATTCAAATACAATGCTTTCGTTAATGATGGATACATCATCAGGTTTATCACTTAATCTTAGTGATAGTTTCAATGATATAACTAACAACAACAACGCCATGATCAATGGTAATAATAATAGTAGTGCGATATTAGCACACAGCAATAATGATGAATTATCCACAACATCAGCAAATCGTAATAATAAATTGAAATTAAATCTACTTCAAAATGTAAATGAATGTAATAATAATACAATGATGATGATTGGACAATCATTGGATACACCGATAATTGAAATGATAATGAATAATGATAATACTGCTACTACTACTACTACTACTACTAATGCAATTCAAATAGCAGATTCATCATCAACAGTAAACAACAACAACAACAATAATCAACAACAACAACAACAAATGTTTTCTGCTCTAGATTTAGATAACAATAATCATATAACACATTTAAATTGATTTTTCACACCTATTCTTCTTCTTCTTTTTTTTACTTATCAAGAAACAAAACAAAAAAATACTCAACAATCATTATATGAATTAGAATCTGTTATGTCAAAAAATGAAAAAAAAAAATTGAAAATAATGTGGTCACTTTTTTGTTCTATCTTCTTCTTTTCTGTTGTTTGTTTGTGTAGATTTTAAATTCTTGTCTTGTTTTTTTTTGTGTTCATGTGTGCTTGTTTTGCTTACAATCGTTTATTATTATAAATATTAAACATTTTTTTTTCATCATCGTTGTTGTTGATTTGAAGTGGTTATTTTTTTCAGAATTTATAAATCTTTCCACCCTTATGAATGCCATCTAGTGTTTTGGTAGAGTTTCACATTTTCATTTTTTTCCGTTTGTTTCAAAAAATTTGTATCTCTTTCGACAATAATTGTTCCATAATGGTATCTTTGACTGCTTGAAATACAATTTTAATATTATCAGTATCGGTTGCACATGTAAAATGTGTATAGACAACGTGGCGACGAAATTGTTCCGGGTTTTGTTTGAAAAACATTTGCAATATAAAATCGACTGCCATTTCGACAACGTTGTTCGACAATTTTGTTTGTTTAAAATGTTTATAATCTGGAAAAAAATCTTCCAATCGATTAGGTCCATTCAGCATTTTCTCTTCAAATAAATCGAATTTATTTAAAAACAAAACAATCGATGTATCGCGAAACCATCGTGATGTTATGATTGTTTTAAATAATGCTTTACTTTCAGCCAATTTATTTACTGGTTTCTGCCAATTATTAATACCATCCTGATGATTATCATTCGAATATCGATGTGACCAATCACCACCGAAACCAGCTGCTACAATTGGTTCGCAGAATATTTGATCAAATTCACTTAATGCCACTATATAGATGATTGTCGTAACAGATTCGAAACAATGAATCCATTTACGGCGTTCAGTACGTTGTCCACCAACATCGACTAGCATAAAATTGACTGAATCGATTTCAAAATTATATTCATTTATTCCATTGGTAGATATACGAACATGAAGTATATCCTGTACGGATGGAACATACGAATCATCAAGAATTTCATTCAAACGTTCCATATAATAGGTGGATGAATCAAGCAAATCGTATTCATTACGTTTCTGTACACATTGACGAACGCCAAGATCGTTCCAGAATCGATCGAATAAACTGTATAGATTGGATGGCAAACGATTTTGTACCATTTGTATGATTAATTGATATGATCGAAGACTTTGTAATCGATGTATCGTTTGATCATCATGATCATCATCATCATCATCCTTTGTAGTAAAATTTCTATTTGCATTATTCAACCATTGACGCCATGTTTCTACATAATTATAATTGTACGTTGATGCCAAAGATTTTTTCAAATCATTATCAATTTCTGGATCTTCATAGCCGATATTCAATAATTGCATTGCATGATTAATAGTAAGTATTGTGGTCAGTAAATTTTGATGAATTTTTGACACATATTCCATTCTTTCAGCGACGGTTTCATAACCATGTTCATGAATAATACGCATCTGTCGAATAAAGGTACTTTTACCTGTAAAAAAAATCGCCAAAAAATCTAATAATCCTCATCAAATCATTCAATCAGATCAAATCAGACCTACCAGATTCACCAGTACCTAGAAGTAGTAATTTTAAATTTCTACGTGCCATTCGTTTTTCTTTTCGCAGTTCATGTTCAATTTTTTGATTAATTTTTCGTTGTAAACGTCGTTCTTCCGATAGTAAACAATATGAATTTAATCGATTGATTATGAGAAATTGTTTTGAATGATGATGATGATTATTATTGCTGCTAATTGGATTATCTTGCGAATGTAATGATGAACTACGGTCATCATTATTATCATTATCATCTGCATCAGTTATTGGTGGCGAAATATTTCGCGAAAAAAATTGTTGCAAAAACATAACTGTAAGAATCAAGTATGAGAATATATGTTCAATATATATTATGATGGACCAAATAATTTCGTTGCTATTCAACGAATGATGTGATAGCACAACAAAAAAAAATGGCGACTGTCAACTCAATATCGATTCTCAATATAACTGATGATGATGATCATGATCAGAATTTATAACCATTTGTTGTCGTCGTCGTCGTTTTTTTTCATTATCCATTTACGATCGCGTAACTATTTGTGAACAACAACATTTTTATGACATGTATGTATGACTATTGAATGATTTTAATACAATAATATAAAACTATCGATTGATCGATTCTCATGAACATTATCCAATAAAAAACACTCATCATAAACTTCAACAAAAGATTAATTGCGACAAATTTTTCCTGATATCGAAAAAAATGTCGAATAGTAAAATCAAGAATCATAAAATATGAACACAATTTCAATATTGAAAAAAATAATTGACAGATTGTTCGTTTACAAAAGTTTTGTTATATTATTAGAGAAGGATATCGAATTGTGAAAAAATCGTTTGTAACATCCGTAAGTTTTTTTTAAAAAAAATTAATGTTTAGAAATTCTAAAAATAGTTTGCAAACAAAATTTATTTTTCTTTATATAGAATACATATAAAACAACAACGTCGTAGAATGTAATAACGTAATTGATTCTAATTATAGAATTTTAAACAAATTGATACACGAGATGAATGGCTGATATCATGACCAGATGATCGGAAATGAATATAAATGAATCCACTAGACATGTGATTTTTTCGTGATCAAAAATTGGATGAAATCAACAACATAATTTGACATTTGATTGATAATTGATGATTATATGGAATGCAATCGATCGTCGTCAATATCCAAACTGTCAGTCATCATCATTGTGAATGAATCAATGAAAATAAAATGAGAATCGGATAAAGTCTGGCATAGAATTTCAATTCGATTAACCCGTTTATATGAGAAAACATTTTTCTCTTGAATAAACAATATGAATTGATGAAAACGATGAAAAAAAACATTGAACATTCAATCAATTAATGTTTCTTGAAAAAAAGATTGCAACCTCAATCGAGCAATAGACGTAGTTGAAATTTTCATATAAAAATGGAAATGAAAATTGTTTCATCTCATCATTTTTTTCATTGATTTCTAATCATCATGTTATTATTATTGGCTATGTCAATGTTGAAAAATAGTGGTAGTGGACCCAGATCGAAGTTTCCAAATCCAAAATTCGCAAACAAAAGAGATGGAAAAAAATTTGAAATTAAAAACGACTATTGCCACAAAGCCGGCGCTCCTCATGTGCAAACAGTGATAAACACGTGTGTTTGTGTGACTTTCGAATTCAATTTAATTTTTAATAACGTTTTTTTTATGTCAAATCATAGGAAACATGGCCAAAACTGCAAGAAAAATTGTTCCATCACCAGATAAAAAGAATGTAAAAAATGAAATCAAAAATATTGGCCAAAAAGTTGGTGGTCGAATAATGAAAAATAAAGCGAAAAAACAACCAAAATTCAAAACCGAAAAAAATGAATCTATCAACGACGACAACGTTGTAGTTTTGGAACCCGTTCGTCGATCCGATGATTTGCCATTATCATTAGTACGTATTTAGTGAATATTTTAGATTTTTTTTCATTGTCATTTTTCTTATCTGAATTCCATGTGTAAAATATAGAATACAAAATGGATAAACAAACAACGTGTTTTGGTGATTGCATCACGTGGTATTACTTATCGTGATCGACATTTGATGAACAACCTAAAAGCGTTAATGCCTCATTCAAAATCAGAGCCCAAAATGGAGACAAAAGATCCGAATTTAGTTTTGAATGAAATATGTGAAATTCGAAACTGTAACAAATGTATATTTTTCGAAAATCGCAAACGTAAAGATTTATACATGTGGTTGGCAAACGTTTCTAATGGCCCCACGGCGAAATTTCTTGTCGAAAATGTGCACACAATGGAAGAACTTCGAATGACAGGTAATTGTCTGAAAGCTTCACGACCATTCTTATCGTTTGATCCTAAATTCGAATCCGATCCACATTGGGCTTTGCTGCGTGAATTATTTGTGCAAATTTTTGGTACACCAAAATCTCATCCAAAAAGTCAGCCATTTTTCGACCACGTATTCACATTCACTATTCTTGATCATCGTATTTGGTTCCGAAACTATCAACTTTGTGATGAGAAAGGATCATTGGCCGAAATCGGCCCACGATTCTGTTTAAATCCTATCAAAATATTCGACGGATCCTTTATGGGTCGTATCTTGTACTCGAATCCACATTATGTGTCGCCTAATAAACATCGAATTTTAATCAAACAAGCTGCTGCAAAAAAATACGTCCAACGATTACAAGCGAAACAACAACGTCAATTGATCAAGCCGGCTAATCATGAAACGTATGCTGATCTTGATCAATATGATGATGTTTTTGAGACCATCCGCCCTGAAGAAGCTATTGGTCCAGAAAAGGCCATTTTTCAACGTAAAAAATGAAAAATAAATTTGATGGCAATTTTTATAAAATACAATTATCATCATTTATTAATGTAATAAATTTTCATAGTGTTTTATCATTTTTGTTGCGAGTATAAACGGTTGAATATAAAAACATGAAAAAATTGATTGAATTATTTGCATTGTATAAATGCATATTTTAATATTTCTGAACCATGTGCTGCCATCTATTGATATAAATAATAACTACGTTCCGAGGTAGCGAAAGTGGCGGTTCCAAGCGGATTTTAATTGAACTAATTTTTTCATTTTTGATCAAATTTTCGAAAAAATTAGTTCACATAAAATCCGCTTGGAACCGCCACTTTCGCTACCTCGGAACGTAGTTATTATTTATATCAATAGATGGCAGCACATGGTTCAGAAATATTAAAATATAAATTAGGACAATAGGCAATTTCACCTTATTTATTATAATTAAATGAATGAAAACTCTTTTCAAATGTGGAGAATTATGGATTCTACATGATCAGTTCTTTATTTTGTATTAATTCAGAGCAATAACAAAAAAACAAGAAAATTGAATTATTATTAAGCAAACATCATTGATATATATCCAGAGAGAAAAAGAGATTTTACAAATAAAAATAAATCATATCATACATCACTTGATCAGTGGTGATGATTCAATGAAAAAAAAACAAAAACAAATGAGGAATTACAATGCGAAATGGAAAATTCAGTAAAATAAAAAGAAAAGAAGAACAAAAAGGAGGAAGATGAGAATAGACAAAAATGGGTCTTTGCATGTTTCAATATGAATGGAATTAAAACACATTGAATGATATGATTGAAGACCACATCATCATCACTTATCGATATCAAAAATTGTCCGATATGCCATTTGTTTAATGATGATATAATAAATGATAGAATTAATCACATCATTCTTTTAATTATTGAACAGTACAATCATCAGCATCTTCTTTATTTTTTACTTTTTTCGATGTACGTCTTATTAATGAACGACTACGTGGTTTACTTGGCGAACGAATCGTTGTTGATTGATTGGTTGTTGTTTTACATGGTGTATTTGGTGCCGTTGGATTTGGTGATCTATTCGGACTATTATTATTTGATATATTATTATCGTTATTAGCAGTAGCAGCATGACTTGGACTCAATAGATTGGTGCCGGCAAATTTTCTTTTTGAATCGACACGTGCCTGTGCTGATGAACGACGTTTTAATCCTTCAGCATCTGGCAATGGTATACGTGCTAGCTGTTGAAGCGTAAGAAATATTTCTTTAATATTTTGGCTATTTTTTGCTGAGCATTCCATTAACTATGCAAAGAAAATGAAGAAAAAAATAAAATCTCGTAAGTATAAAACGATTAATGTAATCATCATCCATTTATACCTTGGCACGTAATTTTGGTAGCTCACAAAATATCCATTCAGCAACATCTTCTTTCTGTACACTACGTTTGTGTTCACCATCCAGATCTTGTTTATTACCAACAAATACAATAGGCACTTCCTTTATTTGTTTTGGAACAAAGATTCAATAAAAAAAAACATAAAAATTAAATGGTTGTTTTTCATTATTATCCATTCATTTCATTTTCATTTTTTCACAATTTTGCTTTATCATCACCAAGAGATAGATCATCATCATCATCATCATAAGATTTTTATTTGATAAAAAAAATTCAAGTTTTTCTTTTTGTTATCTGTTATCACACACATTTTCAACAACAACAATATTGAATTATTATATTTCACAAGAGAAATCTTTTCTCTTAAAAATATTCACAATTTTCCTAATGGAATGTATATGTTCATGTTGTTGTTGTTGTTGTTGTCGTTACAAGAAGATTCAAATGGTCGTTAAAAATCTTTTTCTTTGGCTATAAAAAAAAGGATATAGATAGTCAGAATTTTTATGTATTCAACTCTCTCTTTCTACAGAATATATGGATCATCATTTGTAAATCTACAATTTATACCTATCTGAACATATTTTCGTATTCAATTCAATTCAATTCATTCTCAAGAATTAATTTTAATGCATTTTATAGCCGTAAGGCTTACACGACAAAGGATATAACATATATTTATTTATTTATGTCTCTTTAAGACGGTAACACAGAGGCCATAAACAGATAATATAGATGAAAACACATACGTATTCGAATTTCGAATGTAATTTTGACTATTTGAATTTCTACAAAAAAAAAAATCAATTGAATAACAAAAAAAAAAAATTTCTTTTGTTTTCAATCAAACATGACATCAATGAATGGATTATATTAAAATATGGAAAATACAGATGTTTTTATTGTTGTAGACTTTTTTTCAAACAAAAAAAAAAAACAAATTGGAAATGTTTGATGATGAGATATTTTTTCGTTTGAAAAATGAAAGTCAATCATGATGATGATGTTATTCAATACAGAAAAAGTCTTTTTTTTATATTATTTGACATGACAAAACTCTAATAACAATAATAATAATGATGATCTGATTCATGTATCAAAGCTTTTAGAGAGAGAAAGAGAGCTTAAATAAATTCGAATCTCTTGCTCATCAAGTTTGTTTTGGATAATGATCATAACAAACTTTAATAACAACAACAACAAGTCGGACAGTCAGTCATTTTAGGCTTGATACAAATGATTTGCCATAATAATAATAATGATGATGATGATGAGAAAGTCACAAAAAAAAATCAAAACTTACCTGAAAATCTGTTCGAATCTCTTTGATTTCTTCGAAACATTGTTTAATAATTTCGAATGATATTTCACTATCGATACTATTGAAAAAAAAACAATCAATAATTAACAATCGATGTTAGAAAGTAATTCTTTTTTTTCATTTCATTAAAAACAAACCTATAGACAAGAAGAAATGCATTTGCATTTGCTATAGATAACCGTCGCATGGCTGGAAATTGCATCGAACCTTCTGTATCAAGAAAGTCAACCTTTTTTTCATTATTATTATTATTATTTGAAATGAACAACAACAATAAAAAAAAGTATATATAATATATGAACATTAACGAAACTAATTGGATTAGATTTTTTCTTTTCTCTTTTTTTTGACTGAATAAATGAATCAAAATGATTGGTGAATGGGTGAATGTGTACAATATATAATAAATAAATACCTTTAGATAGACTGTACCGAAAGAAAAATCTTTCGTAAATAAATCTTCAATAGTTGGCCTATGTTTTTCATTAAAAGTGTTGAATAAAAATCGCTAAATTATCAATGAATGAACAAATTAGTAAAAATATACACATGTCATGCACACATTGAATATATACTTACTTTAAGTATGGAACTTTTTCCGGTGTTAGTGGCACCTAAAGTTACCAAACGTAAATGATATGATTCTTGATCGTTGTCCATTGGTGACATAATAATAATGGTGCGTTAGATTTTGGCTTTTTTCTTTTTTGTTCTGGTTTATTTTTTCCTCGTTCAAGTTCCACCGACTGTTTATTATTTTATGAACTTTTTTTTGCCAGTCAAACCAATCAATCGGTACACATTGTATTCGCCGTTCACAGTTTATCTTCTCTTCTCTTGAGATTTTTCAAAACGAAAAAAAAAGAACAGAATTTATGAAATGGCAAAAAACAACAAATCATCAAAACATTAAATTCAAAGCAGATTAAAATGAATGGAGCTGAATATTCTTTGTGAAAATTTATTATTAATGAGTAAAAAAGAGATAGTGATAGATTAACAAGTTCCATTTCCAATCCCAAATGGAGAAAAACAAAAAATTTTCATCCTTTACAAATTTTCCTGGAAAACGAATGAAAAAGAGATTCATAATTTAGTAGTATTAGTTAGATAACGATAGAAAGTTGATGAAATGGAATCAAGTTATCGGAGAATTGTTGCTGTTTCTTTCTTTTTTTTTTTTTTTTGAAAAATTCGAAATCAAATCAAAATTGTATATATAATTGTTTCCTATCATCATCATCATTTTGGTGCACACGAGTACACAGTTTGGCCATTGGGAATTAAACATGATTTTTTGGAGAAATATAAAATGTAAAACGATAACCAGATGATGATGATGTATGCATCATGAATATAGTATCCATCATCATTTGTTGTTGTTGTTGTTGTGGTTATTACCATGAAACGAAAAGAAGAAGAAGAAAAAATAGTTTCAAGCTTGAAGCAATCAAGTGGATAATTTTTTTTTCGATTCTTGGCAATTTTTTTTAAATTCAAATTCATCATCATCATCATCGTGTGTGTGCATTTGCAGAACCAGAATTCTAGATTCTAGATTATGACTGATGGCTATTCAAAGAAAAAACGAAACGAAAAAAAAATTTTAATTGAGTATTGTGCAAATGATGAAAATTTCAAAGAGAAAAGAATTTCTCATTATTTTCAACATTGAACAAAAACAAACACAGTGTTTGTTTTATGTTGAAACAGCAGAAGAAGAAGAAGAAGAAAGAAGAATGAAAAAAAAACAAACATTTATCATGTGATAGGAGAAGAGAAAAAAATTTTCTATTTCAATCTATTTATGGATTCTGTTTTGTTTCCTATTCGTTTATTTCAATTTTTTTTTTTTTTTTTTGGTTCTAGTGATAATATATTTCTGGTGTTTTTTTTCTCTGTTTTGTTCCTCTATTTGGTATTCAAATGATTGAAAAACACACACACACACACACACAATATAATGAAAAAAAAACATATACACGTTCCGACAAACGTGTACATGTGTTGTGTGTGTGTGTGTGTGTATGTCGATTGAATGACGGCATTTTCCAATGTTTCAAACAAACACCCAATTTCATTATAATCATTACATAATGATTTTCATATACACACACACACACACACCAGAGAGAGAGAGAGAGACACGGTGACAAAAATGCTGTCAACGTGGAGGGGATAAAGAGTATGTGTGTGTGTGTGTGTATATAAGTGAAGTGAAAATCATGAAAATTGGAACCCAATTCAATTCAAATTCATTCTATTCATTTCATACTATCATTGAATATATACTACTATATATGGCAAACGAATGAATGAACGAAAAAAAAATTCATTGCAATTTCATGATATGATTCTCTCTCTCATTCTATCTTTGTCAGTTTTTTTTCTCTGCATTTTTATTCAATTCAAATTCTGGTGAAAAAAAAGAAGCAGGAGAATGGGGAAAAAAACGTTATTTGTTTTTGACTCGATTTCCATCTCTTTTTTCTTATTCATTCGGTGTATGTATGTGTGTGTGTGTGTGTGTTTTCATCATGCCGTTCTACACAATTCCCAATGCACAACAACAACAGAATTTTTTTTCCCATTTGCCCATCCTCTGTTTTCGACAAGCCGAATTAATTCTGAAATAAAGATGGAAAATATCTATGTGATGCACCTATCATTATCATCATCATCATCATCATCGAACACACATATTCGATATCCATCCAAACAATCGAGAATTTTTCAAATAAAAAAAACGATGAATGAATTGATGAATGAATAAATTGGAAATTGGAAATAATAGAAGAATTTCATATCGTTGCCACAACAATTCTTTTTCGTCGTCTTTTTCATCAACATTTTGTTCGACCATATATATTCATTAATCATTTGCAAAGGATTTTTATTATTGGCTTTTTTTCAGTGAAAAAAAAAATCCATATGATAATCTGCTTATTTAATCAATCAACAACAACAACAACAATAGCCTATTGTTGTTGTTGATCAATACAATTTAATTTTTTCTATCCAGTTAAAAAATTCACAAAATCAAGAGAGTTTGTGTGTTTTGTCATTTGAATTGAGAGAAAAAAAATTGGATTTTGAAACAAAATTTTTTTTTTTTTTTTGAAGAATTAGTATAAAAAAATCGGACAGACAGTAAAAAAAAAACTTGAAACTTCAATGCCAACAATGTAGGCACAGTTGTTGCAATTTAGTAAACAACAACAACAACAGCAACAACAAAATGCAAACAAAGTTTTTTTTCCATTATCATCATTATTATTATCATGTTGCAGCCAAAATTTTTGTGAAATAAATAATTCCATCATAATGATGTTGATCATTATTTTATTTTCTTTTTTTCTTCTTCATTTCTCTCTCTCTCTCTATCGATATAGAAAAATCAAGTTTGAAAAAAAAAAAAATTCCAGTTTTTCATTTTTATTGTGTATGTATGTTTGTCATGTATGTATTCTACATTCTGTGAATTCTTTCCCGGAGGATAAAACAAAACAAATACAAATACAAAATTGCATGTTGCATATTCCAATGTCGTCGTTGCAGTATATATACAATAATTATTTGGTAAAAAAAAAGTTCATGAAACATATATGTGTAGGTAAATTAGTTTTGGAATTTTTGTTGTTGTTGTTGTTGTTGTGTCATACATTCGTTCCATCAATGAAATGACAAAAATCAATTTTTTTTTTGACGTAAATTGAATATATTGCACAGCCAAAAAAAAAAGAAGAATATTTGAATATGGAATTCTTTCTCACACACAGAATGTTTGTTGCTATTGTCAACACACACACATACGTGGTGTATGCACAACACACAAACATCATCGTCATCATAATGAGAATGTTGCTCTCTGATTTATTCATGAATATTCCTTTTCCGTTGATTCTTTGGAGAGAGTGAGCAGATTGTATCAATGAAAAACAAATTTTTTTTTTTTTCGCTTGTGATTAGATTAGGAATTTTTTTTTTTCTTTCCACAGAATTCTCTATAGTCATATAATGAACAAGCAGATTTTTTCTTTTTGGATTGGCAGCGAAAAAAAAATCACTAATGATGAGCAGTGTATAATAATCATCATCATCATCATCACAATGTGACCAATTGTAAATGATGATGATATTATTTATGCTGCTCAATGCTGCAATTTAGTTGGTTTTTTTTCATTCTTATTTTATTTTATTATTATTGTTATTACTGTGCTATCATCATTCATTTATTGCTTTTCATTTGTATCATTTTCTCTTGAACTTTATTTTCAAATTTTCGTTCCAGAAACACCCATACACACACACACATGTAATGATGATGATGATGATGATATTCATTCTGATCAGTCAATTTATTTGTGGAATTCATTATTTGAAAATTACAATGATGATCATCAATCAAAAAAATGAACTGAATTTTTTTTAATCTTAAGTATACCACACACCAGACCAAACACACCACGAAACATACGTTGTTAAAAAAACACCAAAGGGACCCCAGTAGTAATACACAAGACAGTCACATTCATGCATAGCCAGTCAGTCCACTGTTTACGTTTTTGTCATTTTCGTTGTTGCTGTTGTTGTTATTGATCAATTATCGTAATGAAAATCGATTTGTCGATCAATTTCTAGTAATCGATTTTGTCGTATACTTTTTTTTCTTGGTCTCTCCTGAACACTCAAAAAATGAAACAAAAAATAAAATGACAATAGTCCTTATATACAAATGAAAGAAACGAAAAAAAAACATTGCCACTTAATAATATTTCTATGTACGATAAATGAAATATTTTCGATATTACAATCTCAAGTTGTTATCATTGAAAATGACATTTTTTTCGCCAAAAAAAAAAAAAAACAAAAACAGAACACAGAAAAACATTAACATTAAAATACGGTCATCAAGCTTGTGATTGTGTGACGAACACACACACACACACACACCACGTAAAACAGATATTAGATAAATAATCAAAAGAAACAGGAAAAAAAATTATTACAAAAGACTAGATTTTTTTCCCCCGTTGTGTTGTGTTGGATGCATAAATTGAATTTGAAGCAGAAAAAACGAAAAAAAACACACACATATGATGATATTCTCACATCGAACAAGCATCATGTACTTGTTGTCATTGTTTTCGTTTTCATTTTTATTGTCTTTTCATCATCATATTCGATACAAATTCTTGTTTTTGCACACATGACGATTATCCGAAATAGGATTCCGAATGAAAAACGACAAAATGAACACAGTAATTCTACAAAAATTACAATTCCATGTAAAAATATATTGATATAATAATTTGATTAGCGAGATTTAAAGGGATTTTTGTTGTTGTACAGGGTGAGAGAAAAAAAATTTTCAATTTCAATCATTTTTTTTTCTTGCTCTCGTTATTGAAAATGAAAGTCAATCTTTGGAATCGATAGATTTTTAGGTGTAAAAAAATTGATGAATCAGCAACTGTCATCATCATCATCATCGTCATCAGCATTCAGTTTTCGTTTCAAATCAAAGAATCAAGAATTCAAATACCTTGCTGAAGAATCAATGAATAAATTGAATTTTTTGGGGTTTCTTAAAATGTAAATTTTCATGACAAAAAATAGAACAGATAAAGAGTGATAGAGAGAAATGTTGCCATTTTTGTGTCAAATAATTGGCCAGATATAGACAGACAAAACCAATAGAAATTGACAGAAAAAAAAATGCAAGGAAGGAAAGCCAACTTTTTGGCCACCATCCAATAATGACAAAAATGATTATCATTCATCGAATCGAATTGATTGACGGATCGAATACCAACAGGAAGAAACAAAAAATTAATACCAGTAGCAGTAGAGAGTAAAAGTGCAAAACTTTGTTTGATTTTCATTTGAAACGACAACAACAACAAAAAAAACGAAAATTCAATAAACACAACACATACACACACACACACACACAAACATATTGAATCATAAAAAAAAAGAAGCAAGCATATGATTAATACTAACAAACATCAACGAATAAACGATGGTCGACAAACACTTATATGTTTTTTAGGGCCTGTCGTTGTCGTTGTTGTTGTTGTTGTTGTTATTTTGTCTGTAAACAAACAAACAAATCGTTTGCAAAAAAAAAAACATTTACATAGACAACGACAATGACACAATATATGACAGAATATAAAAGAAAAAAAAAAAAAAGAATCCAAAAGCCAAGAGAAATTCTGTGCATATAAGTTTTGTAATTTATATGGGTTGGTCATATGGAACACCATTATTATTATTATTATCTTTCTTCAACTTTTTGATTATTATGTTTTGTTCAGCTATCTTTCGCTCACCAAAAGTGGTCAAGTAGATTTTTTCGAGAACTAAGAAAAAAAAATAATAATAATAATAATGATGATGATGATGATGACAAACGAAAAATGGTATGAACATATCCAGACACACAAAGCACCAGCATCATCTTGTGAATTTATTCTGATGGAATTTATTTGGCCATTATGAATGGAGTATAAAAAACTTGAGAATTTGAGATATTCTTACGAATCGAATCATTTAAACTTACCATACACACACACACACACGCACAATTGATGAAAATTTTTTGAAGAAAAAAAAATTTCAATTTTTTTTGTTGTTGGAAGAGCAGAATTAACTAAAAAACAAGAATTTTTTTTTCATTAAAAATCAACATAGATCACAACATCACACAGACACACACACACACACATGAACAAAACGATTCTTGATTCAATAATGATAATGGAATGAAAAAAAACACACAAGAAATGATTCAGTGCGTGATTGAACAGACAAACAAACAAACAAAGTGAAATAAATCAAATCAAATCGAATCGAATCGAATCGATGATGATGATGATTGTTGAACCGTAAAATGAAAAAAATAAATAAATATAGAAATAGATAAACTTTACACGAAAATTGAACAAAAAATTTTTCATCAAATAAAAAAGTTCAACATGTATATATATACACACACACACACGAAAAGAAAACACAATCTGAAAATGCAAATTCAATTTTGTTCAATCATCTGTATGGATTCGTGTATGTAATCTCTCTCTCTCTCTCTCTCTCTCTCTCTCTGTTTATTTCGATTTAAACAATTTAAACAAAGACGATCATCATCATCATCATCATCATCATGTCGACCTTCGTGTTCCAAGATCATCAACCATTATTCATTCACACACACACACACACACACATTATCTGATGATGAGTTTTTTTTTGATTTTTTTCTGGTTGTCTGTGTCTTATGTTTGTTTGTTCGTTCGTTTGTTCATTCGTTCAAGAAGTGATCATTATTTGAAAACATACACACACACATTTTGAACCAAAAGGAAATAAAATCGAAGACAGAAAGAGAATGAAATATAGAGCACCACATTTATATTCTGTTCTTCTTTTTTTTCTATCATCATCATCATCATTTTGATGTGTTTTGTGTGTGTGTGTGTATGGTTACTATAGAGATTATTATCTCTAGTTTTGGGTGAAAAACTTTTTATTTTTCATTCTGAGCATGTGTGTGTGTGTGTGATGGTAGGTACCATGAAGATCAACAACTGTGTGTGTGTGTGTGTGTCTACATTTTGTGGAACACAATATGTTCCAAAACGGCCCTGAATGAAAAATTTTTTTTTCATAAAAAACATATGTGCGTTATGGTGTGCGTTTACTTTAAAACTAACTAATCGCACCCTTTTTTAAGATAATCCTGCGTGTCTCTCTCTCTCTCTCTCTCTCTCTCTCTGATGATCCATCAAATCCATTCATGTCGTCGTCTGTGATCAATTTTTTTTTTGCCAAATAAAAATTGATTTAGGATTGAAATTGAAATATATCTGCAAACAAAACAAAAAAGTGTTCATCAAACACCACTTTTCAAATCAAACGGAAAAATGATTGATCATTATTTTTTGAGTGTTGAAATATACAATTTTCGCCAAACGTAATGCACTTTAATGGACAAACAATTGGCCATGGTCGTGTGTGTGTGTGTGTGTGTGTGTGCTGGTGCTATATGAATGATGATGGAAGTATTTTTCTTTCTTGATGATGATGATGTGGTAACCAATTCTAAAAATGAAAGAAAAAAGCAAGATTCCTTAATTTTTGGAAAAAAAAAATTCATCATCATCATCATTTGGGCCATCAACTATGCAAGTAAGCATGATGAAGAAGAAGAAGAATAAGAATCCTCATCAAATGAAGAATTTTTTTCTTTTTTTTTGCAAATTCAGAATTTCAAGAGCCACTTCAAACATTATTATTATGATGATGATTACGACTTTCAACAGTCTTAACAGAAAACATACTTGATGAAATGATTCTTCTTTTGAGTGAAAAAAAAAATTTCAAAGAAAAAGCTCTCTAAAATATACAAAATTAAAAACCTCACTCACATCAAAAAATTTTGTGGAAACAAAACAAAACAAAAAAAAAAATTTTTCTGTTCAATATATATTAATTATTTTGGTTGTCGTCGTCGTCATCGTTGCCGTTGAGTTGATGACAGACAGACAGACACTTTAAATGGATTCAGATCATCGATTTCTGCATTTCATTTTCATTTTCATTTTTCGTTAATTTCCATTAACACATGCGTCTTAAAAATTAATCACTGGTGTCAGTGTGAAAAAAGCACTAAATAAAAAAAAAAAATAGTACTTTTGTGGTATTAAGTGTTAAATTTCAATAACGAAAAAACGAGAACGAGAAAAAGACAGAAAGATTTTTTTATTATTATTATTTACAAAATATTTCCAAAGGAAAAGAATTTTTTTTCCTTTTCATTTGGCTACAAAAAAGTTTTCTTTCATTTTCATTCTCAGATTGGAATTTTTTTTCTTGATTTCAAATTAAAAAACATTGACAAAAAGCTCGACAATCATCATGATGATGATGATGATTTTTGTTTCATTTTTTTTCTCGTCTGTCATACATTTTGACCAGTAACGCCCATACAGGCAAAATGAAAATGTCATAAGATCATATTTACAATGATTTTATCTTAGATTTTGCGTCAGTTTAGTTTAGGTTTTTTTTTTTGATTTTTCTACCCGAGCGAACCCCAGCCGAAAACGAAATTGAAAAAAATTAAATCTTCCCTTGTACAAGGACATCACATATATATATAAATAAAACACAGTGTATCTCCAACTGATTGATTGCAAACTTTCATTTTATTGATTCATTCATTCATTTTATTATACCTGTAAATGAAATTGTGATGATCAAATGGAAAACAACAAACAAAAATTTTTTTGCTTACACAAGCAGAAAATCAAAAAAAAACAACAAAAATTGGTCAACACACAATGTATAATGTGTGGACTTAGGGTTGTTTCTTTTCGTTTGCTACTACATTCTTTATTTGTTTGTTTTGTTATTTATCATCCTAATCATCGTCATCATCATTACGATAATAACGAATATGAAAAAAGAATAAATAAATTGAATTTGAGATAATAAAAAAAAAAAGAGAAAAAAAATTTTGATTGTCACACCAAAACGAAACATACATATATATACAAACGACTATATTTTGACACATTATTAGTATAATATAACCACCACCACCACCACCACCACCACCCACCATGTGTTTAATATCCAACTATTATCGAATCACACAAACAATGGACAAACAAACAAATAAAACATGGTGATGAATAATAGAGAACAATGAATGAATGAAACGACCAAAAAAGAGAATATTCTATTTGACGATTCCATTGATTGTTATTGTTGTTTTTTGTTGTTGTTGTTGTTGATGACAAATCTATATTCACAATAAACCAACGAACCAAAAAAAAAACGAAATAGAAATAGAATGAGATTGAACCAAATGAAATTCTTCTTCTTTTTTTACCAATTCCAAAGAATTTCTTTTCAAATTATTCCAATAATATAAATGGATCACAACATAACAACAACAACAACAACAACAACAACAAATCTCATCAAAAAATGAAAGAAAAAACAAGACCCAAATCATCATCATCACAAATGAAATGAAATTAACTAAAATGTGTGTGTGTGTGTGTGTGTAGTATTAGAAGTAAATTGTCTTTGTCATTCTAAAACTTTTCATCAAATAGCGAGAAACAAAAAAAAAAAAAAGTAAAAACCAATTGAACACAAATTACATACAATGTACGGATATATATGTGTGCTATTATAGTTATAATCAAAAAGTTTGCAAGTTTCAAGTCAAATCAATTTTTTTTTTAACATTTTGTTATCATGTGGATGGATACACAGCAACAATTTTAAATCAAAAGAAGAAAAAAAACGGCCTTTTTTCGAAATTAACCAACAAACACTTGGTGATTGAATGGTTGGTTGGTTGGTTGGTTGGTAGGCAGATGGATTGATTGTGGAATGTGAAAATTACATTCCATGTATGAAAGTTTTTCGAAATAACTATTTCACACATCATAATAGGTGATGATGATGGTGGTGATAGCAAAAGGGATACAAAATGGTCAAGATGATTTAATTTAACAATGATGATGAGAACAGGAAAGTTTTTTTTTGTTGAAAAACAATCAACACTGATCATGACAGATTAAAAAAAAAATACCAGAAAAGACAAATTAATTAATTGGTGAATTAAGAGAAAAATGAAACGAAAAAAAAATTCCTATAATCATAATCTCTAGAAGATTCTGGTTCTTTTGTCTATGAAAAATGAATTTTTCAACCAACAACAACAACAACAACACATTTATCGATTATCATGCGCGATCAATCTATGGAAAAAAAATCATCAAATCCATTTATACCATTATATAAACATAATCTACATTTGTTCAAAATACACATTTTATTTTGAACAATAGAAAAAAAACACAATGATAAATGATGTATTTCATTTCATGAGTTCAAATTCGTGTCCTAGTGTCTGTCTGTGTGTGTGTGTGTTACAAAAAGCAGAAAGTAAAAGAAAAAAATGTTTACCATTTAAACAATTTTTTTTTTTTTTTTGATGTACGTCTCTTGAACACGAATTTTTTTTTCTTCTTACAAATTCTTAATGGATAATTCGAATCGTATGAATTGTCATCATCTTAAAATCTAGATTCTAGAATCTGAAAATATCATCATCATCATCATCATGTTCAGCTTTATTTTTTTAATGGTAAACACAAACACACACACACGGACACTTGATCACGATTCGTTTTGGAGAACATTCATGAAAAAAGTGGTTGGCTGGTCGGTCGGTCGGTTGGTTGGTTGTTTGATCGGTGGTAATTGTATAGTAAAATATTCATTTAATAACGAAGATAAAGAATCCATTAAATTGAGAATGAAAACGAAAGCGAAATGAATGAACAAACAAACAGACAGACAAACAAACAGAGAAAAAAACGAAAACATAATTAAAATTAATTCCAAGTTAATTAGAAAAATTAACCATTTTTAATGACAGACGATTATTCTCTCTCTCTCTCTCTCTCTCTATCTCTTTTCTGGTTTCAATATAATAATATAAGCCATCTATTAATGTTGTTGTTGTTGTTGTTGTTATATAACATTCTTTATTTCAACAACAACAACAACAACTAAATTCTAGTTATTATGCTGATGTTAGTATCATCTGTTAATTTAATGCATAAGAAGAGAAAGAGAGAGAGAGAATCCCCAAGTTTGTAAACAAAGAAAAAAAAATTCAGTTACCATCATCATCAACAGTGTTAAAATAGTATCCATCTATCTATCTATACAATACTAGGTGGGTGGCTAAAGGGGTTTTTTTGTTTTGTTTTTTATTTACCACACACACACACTGGGGAAAAAAAACATAAAAACAACACGAACACGAAACAAAATACAAACACAGAACAAAACATCATCATCATCATCATGATACTGATCAGATAGATGTGTGGGATATATAATTACCAATTAGAATAATTAGGTTTTCTTTTCCTTTCTCTCTCTCTCTCCACCGACCCAAATATATAACAATTTATTTTGTCTGTCGAATACATAAAGAAAGAAAGAAAAAAGTTTTTTTCTTCACCACTTCTGTTCTGTCTACATTTTATTATTATTATTATTATGGAGTTTTTTTCCGATTAAATCAAATTGGAATAATTGCAAACAAGAAAAATCATTACATAATAATAACTAAATTTCAACACACACAACAAAAAAAAATTCATAAGATTCTGTCATTCATTGTAGGTCATCATCATCACGAATGATAGAATATATGCAAATTACATTCAAAAATGATACACCACACACACAGACACACACACACACGATAAACATATTTCCGTTGTAGTGATTTTTTACTCTTTTTATTTGGGTTCATTCTTTATTCATTCATTCATTCATTCATTATTTACACACAAAGCAAAACAAAACAAAAAAAAAAATAGGGTGAATAAATAGATTCTTGTTACCGTTGTATTAAAATTTGATAGACTTGTATTTTTTTTAACGCTTCTCTTCTTCCTTCTTATTATTAATGGTTATAAATAATCAAACATTTTAGTGCGTGTGCGTGTTTATTTTATCGTTTAGCGAATTATTATTATTTTTGTTGTTTTCCATTTATTTATTATCAAATTAGATTATAGAGATTGACAAGCATTATCAAATCAAATCACAAAATGTGAATTATAATGAACACAAACAGACCACCACCACCACCACCACCACTACCGTCAACACAATATTGAGGTTGAGAGAAAGAGAAAAATTCTGGAGAATTTTTTGTTTGTTTGTTCTTCAAAATTATCACATATAATGATTATATATTGGGAAATTCTGGCAAATTCCAAAACAACAGAATAATCGACACATAATTTGGATAAAAATCTATTTATTTTTTCTCTCACACACATCAATTTTTTTTCAGGATACGAAACACACAAATGTACCAAAGAAATCATCAACCAAGAATCATCATTTAGAAATCAAAAAAAATGTATTCTATATGCCTATCACATACACATCATTCACGGCGAACAAAAAAAAATCAAAACTACTACGGCAACGACAATTGATGATGTATATATATAAAAAAAGCGAAACCAAAATCCACCCAAAAAAGTATAAATTTCCTTTTTTGCTACTTTTCAAATGATTTATAATTATAAATTATCATCATTTTCATTTCATTTTATTTATCTGTTATCATAGTTACGCACACACACACACACACACACACGCAAACTTATGACGATAATCTATGTTCAAATTAATATTCGTGGCTCGTTGTTAATTTGATGATGATGATGATGATTTTGGAGCAACAAAAAAATGAAAAAAACGACGTCATTGTTGTTCGTTCGTGTTATATAATCTGGATACGATTCACTCAGTGGGTTAGGAAACAAAGCAAAACAAAACAAAAAAATAGAAACTTTTTTGTGTGCCAGTGTGTTTTACAGCAGCATTTAATATTCAAAAAAAAATGAAATGAAATTAATTTATTAATCATCAATAGGTCTCTCAAAAACACTTGAAAAAAATTGAAAGATAAAAGTATAACAAAAGGTAATCTAGTACCGAGAGTGAAAAAAAAATGATTGAAATACTTAATAATAGTAGCTCTCTGTAGTTATAGATTATCAAAAACAACACTCAATTAATCGATCTACACACATCATCAGACAATTGATCATTGTTGTACCACACACACACAGAGAAAATAATAATAGCCAAGCAACTACAACAACAACAACAACAACCACGACGACGACAACAACAACAAAAGATTTAATTTTCAAAATTTTCTTTTTTTTTTGCACACAACAAATAATAAATACATCCAAAAATGATTCGAATTCAATGGAATTATCTTGTATTATTATTGTTATTATTGATCGTAGCTATTATTTGTGATCAAAGTTTCACTACTACCATTTTGAATGAACCACCATATAAATTGATTCAATCATCATCATCATCGTCGATATTAGCAGAAAGAAATTTTTTTGGTAAAAATTTTACAACAATTAAAGAAGCAATTGATGATGGCGAAAATTTTATTGAACAAACAATCGGAAAACTAGGCCTACCATCATTGGTATTTGGCCTAGCACATCGTGGCCGATTAATCTATAATCATTCATGGGGTGTATTGGATGTAGAAAATCCAACAACAACAACAACAAAAATGCTGATATGAATTCACATTATAGAATATGTTCAATATCGAAAACATTTACTTCAGCATATATAGGCCGATTAGTTGATCAAGGACGATTAACATATAATACTACAGTAAATGAAATTTTGAAATATTTTCCCAATAAACAATGGCAAAATAAAACGGTGAATCTGACGATTGGACAATTATTATCACATACAGCTGGTACACGGAAAACAAATTTGAATGATTTTGATGATATCGTCAAAAATATTGATTCACAATCAACGATTGTAAGAAAATTTGCTAATGATCCATTAATGTTTGAACCAGGAACGGATTGGTCATATTCAAATTATGGCTTTCAAATATTAGGTTCAATCATTGAAACAATGGAAAATAAATCTTTCTCCGTGGTAATGAATAATTTTCTACGTCAATATGGATTGAATAATAGTGTTGTTGAAACAAATGATTTAATTCTTTCGAATCGTGCAAGATATTTTAGACGAATGGATGTGACAAATTATGTGGATCATCGTTTAATACCAACATCTAAGCTAGATGATTCATTGATTTATGAAGGTTATTATGCAGCTGGTGGCATTCTATCAACTGTTGGTGATTTATTGAAATGGGGCCAATTAATGTTGGATGCATTTAATGGTCGACCTGAATCTACAATATTGAAAAGTGAAACAGTGAAAACAATGTGGAAATCACATAGTAAAAATCTATCAGATATTGGTGCTCCCGGCAGTGGACAACATTATGGTTATGGGTGGTTTATAAGCAATCTTACAAATTCGGAAAATTCAATTCTTCAATATAAAGACTATATTTGGCATAGTGGTGGTCTAACTGGTACATCAACCATGCTGATGATACAACCAAAAGTGAATTCGTGGGTATTGCTATGACCAACGAAGGAAATACTCTTGGTCTTGATACAATGATTGCCTATATGATTGAAAATGTTGCCGAATTTATCATCAATTCAAACAATTAATTTTTTGAACAGTTCAAGTTTCGAAAAATTGGTTTGAAATCTATATATAAATAAAAAACAAAACTGCTTACTGATATATTAAATAATTTTCAATTCAATTCAGATTTCTTAATGTTGTCAGATTTTTGTGTTTGCTTCTTGTTGTTGTTGTTGTTGTTTTTGTGGTTATAGTTTTTTCACTACCAAAACCATTACCACCACCAACATTATCTGTTGCCGATGATGATGAAAATGTTGATATTATCTTTGTTGTTTTGATCTTGATCGTCTGATCTTGCTGCTGTGAAATTTTAAAATGCAATAATTAATTTAAGATGTTTTTCTCTTTTGATCATCTTTATACTTACAATTTCTGATGGATGGCCATTATGTAGTTGGCTTTTATTATCATCATCAATATTGCTACGATAAGTTTTCGCAGGTAGATGATTTTTAGTTTTCATTTCTTGTGTATCAACAATTATCGGTTGTTGTGGATGAGATATTTTGCATGTCATTTTGACATTTTTCAAATGATGATCTTCAGCTGATTCATTAGAAACAGTCTTGCTATTATGAAGCTTTGGTGATTGTGGTGACTTTGTTGCTGTAGATTTGACCATCAATGGTGGTGGTGTAAGTTTAAAAAGCACATCTTTATTGTTTGACTGTTGATCATACACATTGACTAATGGTGATGGTGTTGGAGCATATTTTTTTACCGATTTAATCTTGATTAAAATCTATCACCATATCTGATGGTTCTTCACTGGTATTACCAGCACTGCTACCGCTACCAATGGCATCTAATGAGGATACTGGCGATGAAGGTGTCAATGGTGATGGAGTAACATCAATTTTCATTGATGATGGTGTACGTTTATGATCACGACCAGCTATTGTTTGAATGTATGTGGGAAGGAACAGACCGGTAATGAATGTCGTACAACGATGGCCAAAAATGAATATCATTGTATTGAAAATTAGACCACTTAAACGATGTTTCCAATGTCCATAATGACTGGATTCAAATCCAACTGTCATCAATGCTGAATAAGCAACTAGCCGTGATGGAATTCGGAAAAATGTTGGCTGTGAATTTCGAGTGTTAGCTATGAAACATGGTTTCACTGTCTGTACGTATACATTCGAATTATTACATTCGGTGGCTACTGTTTCCGTCAAAGTGTGCATAAATGATTTGCCTATTTTGAAAATTGTGCAAGAAAAGATTTTTTTTTTTTGATTTCATAAAGAAATGGCCATCTACTGGATACTTACAAGCTGAAAATGTTGAATATTTTGGAAAACGAAAATCTCCCGCTTGTGAACCAACATTAATTACAATGCCACGATTTTGTTGAACGAAACGTGGCATCAAAATATCCATAATAATCAATGGCGCCATTACATTGATCATAATAAGATCGTGTTTAGATACGGAAGATTTCCAAAATTTTTCCGGTTCTGGACAACATGATGTACAGTTCACTAGGACGACAATCGGATTCACTTCGGCTAATTGCTTTCGTAACTTTTCATATGATTCCGGTTTGGTTACATCAACAGCTATTTTGATAACATGTTTCATCGTATTATATTTCTTTCGTATTTGTTGCTCAAGGCGATCAAGTTTTTGAACATTACGTGCTATTAACACCAGATTATAGCCCATCGATGCAAATTCCTGAGTAAATTCTCGGCCAATAGAACCAGTTGCACCGGAAATAACGGCAAATTCTCCATTATCCGATATATATTTAACACCTAATCCAATTTTTCGTCCATAATTAACCAATAGTAAACCAGTTATGAATACGATTGATTTATACACCAAGATCATTGCCATCATATAGCCCAATATTTCTAATAATTCCATGTTATCGGATTAAACGAAAAAAAAAACAAACACAAATCTGAATGAAAGATATTCACGAATAAAAACTTTTGCTCATTATCGATTCGAAAAGAATTGTTACCATACAAGGTCCATTATTGTCGTTAGACATAATTGAATATAAAAGAATTTTCCCTGGAATAATTTGATTAAATAGCACACAAAAATTATCGAATTATTGAATCAATGAAAAAGAATGACGAATTAGTTTTTTGTTCACACCAAAATTTCGAACAATTTTTTTCACACACACACACACATGTGATGGACAACTAAATCGATGCGAAATTTGATTCAATTGATAAAAATAATCGATTGTTTAATAACAATTTCTATATTGTAGAATAATTCGTATATACAACAATTACGAGTCTTTCCTGTTCTACTCTAAATACTAAAAAATTGATTGCATTCACAATTTCAATAAAAAAGAAAAATTTCACAATTAACATCTAAAAAATGTCATCATCACGTTCATCATCATTATTGTTGCATAATACATTGAACAATCTATATTGGCAGCTTTATTTTGATATTTATAGTCAAATACAAGATGTACAATTACTGTCACAATTATCATCGACAAGTATACAAAAACATATTGAACGTATTGAAAATTTACAAAATCAATTTGATCAATTAATACATGATTATTTTGGACAAAATTCCAATCATTTTGCAAATAATGAATGGATTATTAATTCATTGATTGAATTACGAAGATATCTAGAAAGATCTCGAATTGTTGCTGAACTTGCATTGGATCGAATAAATGTTACATCATCATCGCCATCTCTACTAACAACAAAACAAAAAGAAATTAGCAATGATGATGATTGTTACAATGTTGAAACCCAAAGTGAATCGAATGTTTTGAATGCAATGGCCAATCCATTTCATAGTACATCAAACATTTCGAAAACAATTCATTATTATGATCAATGGCAACAACAAACAGCATCCACTGTTGATACATTGTCTATTCATCATGTTGTTGAGCATGATAATGAATCGAAATCGGTGCAAAGTGTTGAACAACAGCAAAAACAAATAAACTATTCGATTCAAAATATTACTTTAAATGATGATGATGCAGCAATTATGCAAACAACAGTTGTCAATCAATCAGACAATTTGGTATCGAAACGTCCAAAAATTCCTTTAAAAATATATGATGAAAATGGTCAACCTGTTGATTTGGCTTCACTATCATCAAGTTTGGCCAGTGCAGCTAAAAAATCGAATAAATCTGATGGTGATGAAAACGTTTCTTCAAGTGCAACAATTGATGAACAATCAACTCCATTCAAGGAAGAAAATTTTTCAAAAAATTCTTTCCATAATTGGAAATTGAAAATTCTTTTGGCCGATCTGAATGCATTGAATATGGAAAATAAAATTTCCGAATTTATAGCTTTATCATTTGAAGATTCTATAAGTGGTGATGATATCGAAAGACATTTGGAACAATTGTATCGATTAGATGAGTACACGAATGATGAAGAATCGTTTAAAACTCATTTGAATTTTCTTAACAAATTATTTGAATTTTCATTTGTACAATTGTCTTTTATGCTACGTATGTATGATCATCTCTTGCAAACATATAGCCAAATGGAAGCCAGTTCATCACGAAATGATTTTTTGATCGACTGTTTTGCTGAATTTTTCACTATTGCTCGACCATTAATCAACAACATGATAAACAAAGACCATGACCATAATGATGAATGTAATCGAATTCGATTTATTTATTTTAAACGGCTATTTCAACGATTATCAGACATTCGTCAAAACTATCAAAATGGTTGCCTTGATTTATCAGAGAAAAATGTTCGGTAAGTTTTTGTTTTTGTTTTGTTTCAAATCTATATATTCTCTCTGATCATCATCATCATATTTACTTCAGAATCATTTCGATGGCCATTGGATTCATCAATAAAAATCAGTTACAATTCTCTTTTGATGGTTGAGCAAATAAAGTCAGCGATTCTTTTTCCACTTTTTTTTCCAATGTAATTTAATTTGTGTTTATCAAGCAAATTATGAAAAAAAATTGATATACAGAATAAAACGATTTTTTTTAAAAAAAACGAATAATTTTTTTTTTCATTTATTGACAAATCAAAACAACAAACAATACAAAAAAAAGAAAAAAAAAAAAACGGAATGATGACTGTGAAAATTGATAGAGATTGTACCGGTGGAATATAATGATTCAATGATTGAATTTGTCATCATCATTGAAAATAGAAAAAAAAGAAAATGATTTTGATGATAAGAAACCAAAACAATTGAAAAGAATGGACAATGAAAAAATTTTTTCGCCATAATAATATGTAATGAGCGTCAATATCGTTATGGTTGATTTTGATCAAAGGTAGATATATTTTATATATTCGAGATGGATTTTAGAAATTTTAGACTAGAATTCCCAAACGGGAAAAATATTCAAATTTCATTCCATTCCATTGTTGATTACATTGGTTGTTGTTTCGAAACAATAATCGAATGATTTGAATTCATTACTGCTGCTGATGATGATGATGATGATGATGATGATGGTGGTGGTGGTGGTGGTGTTGTCAATAATGTTGTAGTGGTGGTAGTATCATCTGCCAATTGAAAATGTGTTGCTACCGATGTTAATGATGATTCCAATATATCGAAATCCGATTCAGTGAAACAGGAATCCAGGATTTGTTCAAATATGGTACGAAGTTGTTTTTTTCTTGGCCGAGATTGTTCTTGTACTGTTTCCAATCCTTTCTCCAATGAGACAATTACTAATCCATTGCTTTGTTGTTGTTGTTGTTGTATTGCGGCGGTATTTATTGTCGATGTTGATGCCTGCTGTGCAACTGCTGTTGATCCGATTGTATCGTTTGACATAGTCATCATCATTGATGATGGATTAATCGATGTAGATGTCGATGCTGATGATGATGAATCTGCAAGCTGATATGATTGATGTGTTGGTTGATATGTCATTGCCTGGAATGAACTATTTATTTGTTGTTGTTGCTGAACCTGTTGTGAAACTTTGGCCGTCGGAATTGTCGTAGCTGACATCAATTGTATTTGCTGTGTCTTCGTGGTTGTCGTTTGTTGTTGATTGTTTTGATTATCGATCAATTGTTGAAAATTCAACTGATTCAACGTAGCTGAAGATGACGGTAAGGTATCACTTTGTGTCGATACATCTACATGTGCCAGATTTGTTTTCATTGTCGTTGTTGTCGTTTTTTCAATTGGTATGGCCATCAGTTTATTGCTAGGAGATGTAGTCAATATCTTAGCAGATCCTAATGAGCCCCCAGAAATCTGTACCTGAAATGAATGGGCAGTAGCCGATGCTGTTTGTGATGATGATTGGTGTAAATGTTGCTGAAGCTGTGTTGGATTTGAATGATTCTGATGTTGATGAGGATTGGCCGTTGTTAGTACAAGATTACCACCGACAGCTGACAAATTAACCAATGGTAAATGTATAAGTTTTGATCCTCTTGTAGTGCCGGTTGTAGCCAATTGAATATTTCCTGCCGATGCTAATCCGGCTAATTGTTGCGGACTGATTTGTATAGTTTGTTGCTGCTGCTGTTGTTGTCCATTTGGTGTAGTAGCAATGGCTATCACCTGATGATGTTGATTGTTATTGGCCGTGGATAGAAAATTCGTTTGCAACAGTTGACCCATTTTTTGTTGTTGTTGTTGTTGTTGTTGATGTTGCTGTATTTGTACTTGTACCGGTGTTTTTATTATCTGTTTACGATGATTGGATTCTTTCTGTTTTTTTGGCGTTTTAGGTGAAACTGAAACAGATGATGTTGATGAAGCTCGTTGTTGTTGTTGATTATCGGGCAATTTTTGTTGTACAGTCGACGATGATGATGATGATGATGATGATGGTGGTGGTGGTGGTGGTGGTGATATATTAGTGGTCAATACATGTCCCAAATGAAATGGAATGTAATTCACCTAGATAGATGACGATGATATATTTAAACTTTAAGAATCAAAAAAGTTAAAACTTACTTGTATATGATTCTTTTTAAATATTAAACGGACCGATGAAGGGCATGGATACATACGAGAATCACATTGATTCTCAATCTTTAATAATGTTGTTGTGTTTGAATTTTGTGTATTTTCAGAATCTAGATTTGATGATGATGAAGACGAAGATGATGACGATGATGATGATAATGTGGATGCTAAAGAAGTTTGTTGTGTGTTGGATATTATTTTTGATAAATCAGCCATCTCTATTTTGGTCATTGGAGATGATGAAATGATACCCTGTTGTTGTTGATTAGCGGATGGACTTTGATTATATTTCAATATGATTGCTTGTTGTTGCGTTTGTTGTTGTTGTTGTTTTGTATGATCATCCAATTCTTGTGTCTGCAATTGAATACCAGAACATTTATAATAGATACTTCGTGGAAAATCATGGCTAAAACATCTTTCATAATGGCAACCTGTTTGTGGTTCCAATTCTTTATCTTTCCAATGTTGAAATTCTGTAATAAAATTATAATATAGAATATTAAAACTTTTTATATTGAAAAAAAAAATTTTTTTATACCTTCAATTGATGTAAATGTTCGTTTAGTGAATAATAATGAAAAATTTTATCCAAATCAAATTGATGCACTAGTTCCAGATGACGAAAATATGAATGTACATCTTCTTGAAATTGTTGACATAATAAACAATAACAATATTTTGCATCCATTAAATCGGAAAATTTATGTACGGAACGTATATGTCTCGTTACAGATGAACTAGAACAAAATGATCGTGTATTATCACACAATGGACATAATGTATGTCTTGGTATTTCATCATGATCTTGTGATAAATAATTCGATGCTTGGGTTGTAGATGATGATGATGATGATGAAGTTGTTGATGAAGTGTTTGTTGTCGTCGTCGTCGTCAGCATTGTTGTTGATGATGAATTGATTTGTTGCTGTTTATTGGCAAATGATTGTTTATGGTTACCGCTGTTGTTACCAATTTCAGACGGTTTATGATTGTCGGTGGAATTCGTCAAATTTTCGCTCATAGATGATGGTGATGATGATGATATGATTGACTGAATTCCTGATGAATTTTTATTGTTGTCTGATTGTTCAATTTTAATTTTGTTTGATTTTGTTGTTACCGAAGTTTCTTTCATCGGCGACATTGTTGTCTGTGCAGTCATATGTGCTGATAACGATTCATTCGAATCTGTTTGAATTGTCTTATTCTGTGGACAATCAATTTGGTCAGATTTCAACCAAGTTTTTTCAATTTCCACATGATCTGCTGCTACTTGAGTTGTTGTATCAAGAACGGCTTTCAAGTCAGCTGTTGTAGATTGTTGGTGCTCTGAATTTTCCATCGAATTTGTGGTCATAAACAGCTGATCAACAACATTTTTAGTATCCTGATCTTCATCTGATACTTCGAGATTTTTAAGAAAATCCACTTCTTCATCATTAATATTAGCGTTCGAATCATCATTGGTATCATCATTGCCACCACCATTATTATTGTTTTCGACATCATAATCCATTAGCATATAGTCAAATGATGGCTGTCCAGACATTAACGTTGTCGTTGTCATATCTGAAATTTGATTATTTACATCATCATTATCGATCATCATTAATGATGATGGTGATGAAGATTCCGTTATTAATGGTGAAGATTTCATTATTTTTGTTTTCGGTGCATATGATTCATCATCATCATCATTCTCTTCATTATCATCATCTGGTCGACGTATTTGTTGATTATTAATTGGTTCAATCATAATAAGAGTTTCAGATGTTGGTGATTCTAATAGATTGTTATTATTATTACTAATTGCATCATTATCATGGACAACATATTGATCTAATGACGAGAAAAAAGCATCATCATCAGCATTGGTAGCAATCACATTGGAGCTATCATCATCATTACCATTAATATGCAATTGTTGTTGTTCTGATTGTTGTTTTTGCTCTTGTTGTTGATCTATTATTGGCAAAAGAAATGTTTTTACATTTTCATTTGAATTTGAAGTCAATTCTATTTGCGATGATTGAATTATAGTGGTTGTCGGAGCTATCGAATCAATATTTTTAGGTGTATATGATGATGTTGTGGTTGTTGTTGTCGATGATGATGATGATGAACATGGCAACAATGTTTCCATGGTTAATAGATCATGATAGAATTGATCATCATCATCATCATCATTATTAATCACCATCGAGATGATGAGTAGTTGTAAACATTGTTGTTGCTTCTGATGTTATCATCGATTGTAATTGTTGTTGTTGTTGTTGGTATTGGTAATCATCATCATCATCATCATTATCATCATTGCAATGATTTCGATGAATATCCGTTCTAGGTGATAGACTATTATTAGCTGATGTTGTTGATTGCGTATGAAATTGATTTGCGTTTGTTGCTGTTGTTGGTTCCAACATATCAAATCATTATTTAGTTTTTTTTTCAAATAATCGAAATAATTTTTCAATTTGTAAAAAAAATCAAATTTTCATTGCTGAAATTTATTAAAAATTAATTTGAAATAAAAAAAAATCTTTAAATGATTCTAGAAATAAACAAAGAGAAGAAACTTACGATGTAATTTTTTTAAATCTTAATATTGCACTTGTTTTTAAGTTGAAGAAGAATAATTTAAGAAGAACAGCCAAACCAAAGCATAGAATATAATGATAATGAATAGATTTATGAATCGAAAATTTCTAAATCAAAATAATCATTAAACATCATCATCATAATATCGAGTATGGTGAGTTATACGATAATAATAATAACAACAACAACAACAACAAACAATATAGCCGCATGTGATATGATAGATGTATATTACCGAATCTATATATCGACGTTGTTGTTGTAATGTATAAAAAAAAGATTCTATATGCTTCTACGACGACAATGGAAAAAAATTTTTTTTTTGCCTTTTTTTCAAATACCGAATTTTTTTGATATATAATACATTCAAACACATCCATTATCAATTATTTTTTTTATCGATATACGTCTTCTATGAATGGTGTGTGAATTTGTTTTTTTTTCTCAATGAATTGAGTTGATTCGAATTTAGCCGCGCGGCTATAGATTCAAAAGTCATGTTGTTTGTGACTATAAAAATGATTTCGATTTTGATTTAAAAAAATTCGTTCAATGGATTTTTTTCTTTAATTCTTTCCAAACGGACCAACCAAAGTAAAGTATCCTGGAATTGTGATGTCAAGGATATCGCACACTTTGATTTATGTGTGTTTGTGTGCAATAATCTTAAAATTGTCCGGTTGTCAAGTAATGATTGGAAATAATCATCAATAACATTGGTTACAGATTAATTGATCATTGATCATTTCGATTGCTTTTTATCATTTATTTCTTTGCATTGCTCTCATCTTTCACCCATCTGATTGATTGATATGTTGATTTTTGTGTGAAATCAAATCAAAAAAAAAAAAAAAAAATGGAATCTAAATATGTTGATATACCATTAAACAACAATGATAATGATGATGAAGAAAATACATCAACGACTATTCAACGACGTATTCATCAACAAAATTCGACAGCCGATAAACAGAATAATAATGATTTACATGTAATGGTACGAAAAATTTTTTGTAATCATTTTGTTCCATTCGTCGGTTTGTTTGCTCTATGTGCATTTATCGGTATCGGTACACCAATGATATGGAATCAGATTTGGAAACCAAATTCAAATGTTACAATTGAAACTGATCTACGTTATGATTGTTCACCACTAAAACCGAAAAAAAGTGAAAAATGTTCAGAAATATGTAAATTAGATCAATTAGCTAAATATGATGAAATTCGTTGCTATTATCGTATGGAAACAAGTGAAGATATTGATGATGATTCTATTCTAATGCCAAGATATTCTATTGAACAAATAAATGATTTTAATTATCTACTTTCATTGAAAACACCACCGCCATTTATTCATGATCAAAAAAATGATGACCTATCGAAAGATCCAATAATACATCGAAAATTATCACTTTCAATTCGTTATCATAATCCAAACCATTCAAGCGTTCTCATTAAACCAATTCATGAAGGTAAATATTATAAGGATGAATGATTTACAGAACATTTTCAAAAAAAATTCATTTTTATATAGATGAAACATTATGGTCGAAAAATTTCGATTTCAATTATCAACCACATAATAGTTCAATCGATTCGGAAGCCGAAATAACAGTGGAAAATGATTTGAAAAATAATTATTTTCAACTTAAAATTCGTCGAAAAAGTACTGATGCTAAATTGTTTGATATGGGATCACATACACCATTTATATACGCCAATGGTTACATTGAAATCACAACATTATTGGTTAATGATATTATGTATGGCCTAGGACAATCGAATCAACCATTTAGACATAATTTTAGTATTCCAAGGGTAAGATTTTTTTCAGTTTGAATTTGCGATTTTTTTAAACACTTTTTTACTTTGTTTTCATTTCAAGAAATGGAATCTATTAAATCAATATCATGATAATCTTACAATGAATGCAACAAGTTTATTCGGTAGTCATCCATTCTATCTTGGCATTGATAATCCAAAACAAGGCAATGCTTACGGAGTTCTTTTATTGAATAGTTTTCCCATACAGGCCATTATAAATGCTCGACCAAGTTTAACATTGCGAACAATGGGTGGACATGTTGAACTCGTAAGTAAATAAGTGTTAAATGTTTAAAATCTATGATAATGTACGTTTTTATAGCACTTTTTCTACGGCCCTAGACCTATCGATGTCATACGGCAATTACAAAATTTTATCCATAAACCAGCAATGCCACCTTATTGGTCACTTGGATTTCATATGTGTCATACAAAATGTTCGTTGCCAGAATTCACAAAACCATCGATAAATTACATTCATTGTCTATACCAATTGAATCTGATTGTGGAACATCTCTGAAAATTAGCGATCAAAATCAATTTAATCAATTTGCTTCGCAACTTCATAATGCAAAAATTCATTGGATATCAGCTACGATTCCACATTTGTTAACAACAGATGGCGATCTATCACAGGATCAATGGAATAAAAATGTTTTAATGATGAAAAAATCTGATACCGATACGAAACGTATACCTTATTCCGGATTGATGACTGGTTGCTCCAATAATGGTAAGTTTAAAAATTAAAAATTTCAATGAAAATGAATTTTCTCTATTTTTTTTCAGTTGCACAAAATCAAAAAGCTTATTTTCCTGATTTATTCAATCGAAAAAGTCGTAATTTATATTCAGAAAATGAATTGAATTCAAATGCCGATGGTTTTATATTGGATTGGAATACACCGGTCAATCTGGCGAATGGAAATCATTCCTGTTTATCGATGCTCAATCACTATAAATGGAATTATTATTATTTTGCCAGTTTGAATAATAAGAATCCATGTCTTGATTTATTACTATCTGAATCATCTTCGTCATCTTTAATCAATGATAACAAGCAAACTATTGGACCATATCTAGCATTACATAATATGTATGGATTGAAACATTCACAAGCTGTATATGAAAAATTCATTAAAAATCAAAGAAAAAGACCATTTATAATGAGTTTGGCAACATTTTTGGGCAGCGGACGTTATGGTGGCCATATCGCGACACCAATCAATGGTACTTGGGAAATGCTTCAGTTTAGTATGAAACAAATGCTTGATTTTAGTTTATTCGGTATACCGATGAGTGGCTTCCCGGTTGGTGGATATAAAGGTGAAAAGCGTGAAAAAAATGGTAATCTAATGAGACAATGGTATCAATTGGCGTCGATGCAACCATTTATGATTGCCTATAGTGGTTATTTGCAATCAGAAACACAATACACTGAATCATTAGAGAATACGATTCGTTCTGCAATTAAAACTCGGTATCGAATTCTACCATATTTGTATACATTATTCTATCGTGCATCCACCGATGGTGATCTTGTGGCTCAACCATTGTTCATACAATTTCCAACCGATATTTTGACGTATAAAATACAAAATCAATATATGTTAGGATCAGCATTGATGATATCACCATCATTGGAACAGGATCGATCATCGATTATGGTCCATTTTCCAAAAGGACGTTGGTATGATTTTTATTCTGGACAAATTGTTTGGAATAATGATGATGGTGTTGCTGAACTGTCAGTAGTTAATATCAACATTCATTTACGTGGTGGTCATATGGTTATCATTCAAGAATCTAGCATGACAATTGAAGAAACACGTGAGAATAATGGTTTTCAACTCTATGGTGGATTTGATCGTCATCGACAAGCAAGTGGGGAATTATATTTAGATTCTGGTGATGATTTATTCCCCGCCAAACGTTATATGCAGGTATTTTTTCAAGCTGAATACACAAATCTTACAATAACTATACAACAAAATGAAGATTTTTGTCGTGCAATGAAAAATCAACTGCAAAAAAAATTGAATACCATATTAGAAACAGTGAAATTATGTGGTGTGATTGAAAAACCAAATCCATATTTGGTCGATGTTTATGAAATTAATCCATCAAATGACCAGATGAAAAAATTACGAACAATTTCTGGTACAAAATCCATTCAATTTGATGCAAAATTAGGCGTTTTGGTCATAAAAACTGATTTAGATTTATGCAATGTACCGTATTCAGATCGACATGTTTCAATTAATAAATTTTTTCTAAATTGGAATTATACTAAATATGAAATTTAAAGTTACTGCTAAATAAATTTTTCGTTATTTTTTTGTCTGTTTACAACATCATGATGAAAAATGTCTTAATTTGATAAATGATTTTACACATACATACACACACATAGAGAGAGAGAGAGACAATGGAAAATGAAAACAAAAGGGTTATATGCCAACGACAACGATAACGACAACGACAACATCAACAAGCAAAGAATCTGAATGTAGAATAAAAGAATAAAAATGAGATTATAATTTGATTTATTCCAGCATACTACATTCATTCATTCATTGTAAAAAAAAAAAAAAAAAAAAAATAGGGGTCACCAACCCATACGTCAAAATACCATTTTGAATCAATATTCGATAAGTCATAAATTTAAGAACAATAAAATAAACCAGTGATTAAGATCTTTTGTTTTGATAACAGTCAATTTCAGATCGATCATGATATTATTTGATCAGAAACATTATTAATACCAATTTCATTATCGTTCACGTTGATAGACATCCATACATTAAAATGATCGGTAAATTGTTTAAAAAGACGTAGAATGTACGTTCATTTCATATTCTGTATTCTGATCATCATCTATTCATTTATTTATATGCTAATTAATGTCTTAGTATGTCTGTTTGTGTAGAGCTTTTATTTTCATTGGAAGATGATTATTTTTCTTTTGTTGTTGTTGTTGTTGTTGTCGACACAAACACTGGTTAATAAAAGAATTGGAACGTTTCATTTTAATTCTTCTTCTTCACTTTCATCATCATCATCATTATTATCTTCTTATCCTTTATAACCAGACATTTTCATTTGAAAGGTGTCTTCTACACTATTATTAGAAAAAAAATTTGTATGCAAATTGACTCAAGGGTCGTCCAAGAAAAAAAAATGAAAGAAAATTGAATAAATAAAACAAGAAATGAGAACGATTCCGGATTCTGTTTGCCAGTGATTGAAATAATTAGCATGCATTCATTTTGATTGGAAAATATTGGAGATTTGTTGTCGTTGTTTTTTTTTGGCGGATATTACAGCATTGCTGTCAAGGGTTTAATTATTGAATTAAATATAAGCCGTATATACAAGTGGAGAGAAAAATTGAACAAACATGATGATGATGATGTTAACGGTAAAAATACAAATGAAAGAAAAAAAAAGAAAAATGATTTCGAAACAAATATTGAAAAATGAATGGATGCTGGTACACTTTTGGGCAAGATAACAAAGATTGATATATCTACTGCAGCAGCAGCAAAAAAAAAATCAGAAAATCTTTTTCCAGTCCAGGTCATCTAGCTAGCTAGCTAGCTAGTCTGGTTATAGAGTGAATAAATTGGCCAGCAAAATCTGGACAGCCATAACAATAATAAGAATAAGAAACAAAATAAGAAAAAAGGTCGAAAACAAAAATGAAAAATTCAATTCGTTAGAATTATCATAATAATAATAATAATAATAAACGAATATTATGAACAAAAAATCCAATCATCTTAATGCAACAAATTTATTGCTGATGATAATGGTGAGAATGTGTACAAGAAGAAGAAGAAGAAAAAAAGAATCAAATCAAATCATTCAATGGCGAGGTGTATATCATTATCATTATTATTATGATAATAATCACAGAATCACAGAATATATCATCATCATGATCATAATAGGAAAAAAAATAATGTCGAAAACATTCAAACAGATTCAGATGATCATTTTTATCAAAACAAGGTCAGAAATGATTTTTTTCGTGTTCTGCAGAATAATAATTTTGATTTAGATGTAGGTGATAGTGGCTATAATGGCCAATAACAGAAAATGGAATCATGGAAAATTTCGGGTGAAAAAAAAATTCGAAAAAGTTTTTTTCTTTAATTTCCCAATGATGAATCTGAAATTCCTCAAAAAAAAAAATCCAATCAAAAGTAAAACATAAAACTTCTGAGTATGATGAATTATGACGTTGATCGAGTGATGATCCGGTCAGCTAACCGGCCAACAGCAACAACAACGAAAATGAAAACCACAAATCAAATTCATTGTGGAATGAGAAAAAAAATTTTTTTTCCGCTCTCCATAACAGCAACAAAAAAAAACTTTTACAATCATCGAGTGGATGATGCATTTCATTTCTGGGTTGAAAAATTAAATTTTTTTTGTTCAATGAATCTGAAGAAGATGACGAAGGAAGAATATTTTCATCATCATCAACATGAATTTTTTGGGCCATTCATTGTCGACGTTTACAAGCAATTGAAATTATAATAATAATTTACATAAATGCAAAGAGAAAAACAACTTGTGTTTATTTTATCTATATTGCTCATTGCTCATGTGATATATTGTGTGTGTGTGAAATGAGTAGAATTTTTTTTCTTCTTTCTCTAGAAATGCAAACACACTTTATCATTTTAAGAATATTCAAGCAGCATCAGTTATTATAATCATATATGATGGTTGTTTTGGAATATAATGTCTGCTCATATTAACTTTGCTTTAGTAGCTAAAGTTCATTCAAACAAAACAAAACAAAACAACAAAAAAAAATTCATGATGATGATGATGATCATTGTGAAACAATTTGGATGAGCCAAGATAAATCCAGAAATAGAAACAGAAACAGAAAAAAATAACAACACTAGAAAGTTTGATTTACTCTCATTTGATTGATGCAAATGACTTTTTTTTCTGGGTTTCACATTCAAAAAAAAAAAAAATTGCTGCTGCAAATCTTATTCTGCCACCACCACTACCAATAACACCCCCTTCTAGTTATAATGAAACCAGTCATATTCAAGTTAAATCTCACTCTCTCTCTCTCTTGCCAATCTGGCAAATGGAATTTAGTGTTTAATGTTTATTGTTGTTGCTGTTTTTTTCAAGCTTCATCTTTCATCCATAAAACGATCCACAACAACAACAAAAAGTTCTTGGATTTCCATGTTCTTATTTCAATGTAAAATTATTTTTTTTTGTTTTCGTTTTTCGTTTTGCACTAAAACAGCATTCATTGTGTTTGTGTTTGTTGTAATCATGAATCTCATCTTCATGTGTAAAGATTCATGCACAAACAACACACACAAACAGCACACACACACCCAGATTGGATTCTTTGAAGTAAAAACAAATGAACGAGAGATATAAATTGCTTTTATCATCAGCAAAGAGAAAAAAACAAATTCAACGAATATATACAAAAAAAAACAATGAATTAAAACAACAGAAACGGATTTAAATATATATCAGAATTTAGTGTTGATTGTTGTTGGGCTTTAGTCATTTTTCTTTTTTTTTGGATGTGCCAAACACACACACACACACACGCATTACGGTTGAAATGAATTTGAAAACAAACGCACACACTTAATCTATTTCAACAACAACAACAAAAAAACAACAGCTTGTTGTTGTTGTTGTTGCAATGACAACTTTGTGGGAAAATAGAAAAAAAAAATTTCGCAAAAATTCAAGCATGACAAGAAGAAAATCATCAACCGATAAACAAAAACGTGAGAAAATGTTTGCCAGTAAAGCTAACATTTCAGGGCCACACACATAACTCGGGTCATGAGGTGGAAGAAAAAAAAATTTTTTTTTCCAAAAAAAAACTTAATTTTCCCCTACACAACCACAATTCAATGGAACAAAACAAACTAACAGACAGACAAACAAACACTTCTTGGTCCCGGGTAAATATCTAAAGATTTATATCATCATCATGATTATTTGGTTTGTGTTTCCAGTACGATGCATTCACACACACAAAGAAAAAGATTTTACTTTTTTAAGAATTCTAAAAAATGGCATTTACACACACACACACAGACATCCATTTCATTTCATAAAACACACAATTCAATGAAGAATAAATGAATGAATGAACGAATGAATGAATCAAGAAAAAAAATGGCAAGAGAATGAGAAAAAATTCTTTTGGAAATTGTATCAAGAAATGATAATAGAAATATAACCAACAACAACAACAACAACGAAGACGACGACGACGAACCAGAAAATGGAGAAAAAAAACTTGATTCATTCAAGTGATAAATGCTCAGTAAAGGTTCGTGGAAAATAAAAAAAAAAATTCTGAAACTAAAAAAAGATACGAATAAGAATCTAAAAATCTCAATTTTTTTATATTCCGAAGTAAGAACTAACACAATTCTTTATGATGATTCTACATTTATTCTCATTTCATTTAGACGATTATTATCATTTATTATTATTTTGTATGAGTGTGTGTGTACCGTAGAACAAAAAAAAAGAAAAAAATTTTTCATTAATAAGAGATTTAATCTAGCGTGTTTAATGCCGGGGAATATTTTTCTTTTCCCCCACTATCAATTTCACAAGATTTACAATGGCAAGCAAGCAACAAAAAAATGAATGAATGAATGATCTGTATCAATTGGTTTTTTTTTGCCTGGTGGTGCAAATGTTGAATTCTGTTTTTTTTTTTCACGTTCAATATTTACCTATGGATTTATGATGATGGCAAAGAAAAAAAACAAGATTTATCATTGTAGAATTTGAAGAAAAGAGTGAATGTGAGAATCTTTTTGTTTGCGCAAACTTTTTTTTCATTCACTATTTCTGTCTGCCTGATTAATTAGATGATCTTTGACCAAAAAAAAAATTGCGATTTTCAAAATTTTGAAAAATAAGAATCATGTGTGTGCGTGCGTTTGTTTTTTCTATTCTTGCATGTTACAATTGTTTTTAATTTCAATTTTAAACACTATATATATGTGAAAAATTCTGTGAATATATATACAAATGGAAAGAATGAATTAATTTAATTCTTTTGTATTTTTTTTTCATCAAGATACTCGGAGTTTGTGTGTGTGTGTGTGTGACCCGCATCGTTAGTTGTGAAATGAAATAAACGAAAAACAAAGATAAAAACAGTGAAATTGAAAGCTTTGAATTTCAACCGAAAAGAAGAAAAAAAAAGATTCATTTGATTAATTCGGTCACACACACACACACATACAAGAGAGACAGAGCTAAAGAATGACTGATGAACAGCGACAGAAAAAAAAGTGTGGTAATTCCAGAATCGAAGAAAGGAAAAAAAATCCTGAAAATGTAACGAAACTAAATGAAAGCCAAAGACTTTGATGTGCATGTTGTGTGTGTGTGTGTGTGTGTGTAGAACACTAATCTAATTTGTGATCAATTTTAACTTGATTTAAAAGCATTCTTTTTCCCTTTTTTCTACGAGTTTCTTCTCGTGTTTCGTTATCGTCATCATCATCATCATCAAAATGAGACGAATCATTGACAATTGAATGAATGTGGCAGCACAATATGAAGCAACAGACAAATTAAAAGATTCAAAATTATAGTAATAGTAACCAGTATCGAATATCGGTTGTCGACAGCTTCATATATTAAGATTTTTTTTTTGAAAAAAAATAAGAAAAAGAGACGTAGTCACTATCTATCTCCATTATTATTATTATTATTATTCAGAATGATGATTAGGATTGAAAATGGAAAAGTAGCAATATCATCATTCTGTGGGTTAGTAAAATGAGAAAAAAAAAGTTGGAATCGATTCCAATTCAATGAATTTGCATACAGGGGTACATAGAAAAACATTGATGACGATGATGATCGAGTGTCGTTTTTTTTCCTAGTGCCATTTTCATTCATTCATTCATTCATGGTTTATTATATATCAAAATATATTTGTTCAACTCTTTTTTTAATAATAACAAAAATGAATCAAAATTAAAATTGAAATTGAAATGAATCGTTATGGAAGAAGAATGAAAAAAAAAATGAGATATTTTCTTCATCATTTTTGTCTTGGGAACAATAGAAAGAAACTGAATGAATAAATGGATGGTCGTTTTTTTCTTTTCATTGTTCATTCAAAGTTTTTTTTCTAGGTTTGCCACAATCATCTCACCCTCGAACCCATTATCATTATCAATGATTACTACGTTTGATCATTATTATTAATATTAAATTGAATTAAATGCGAAAAAAAGTTCATTTTTTTCCTTCTCATTCGATGTTGATATGATGGACATGATTTGGTCACAGAAAATTTTTTTTTCGTCTGACCTTTACATTGTTTTCAATCACAAGTAGCAGAAGAAGAATGAAAAAACAAATTGATTACGTAATTTAAATTATTGTCATCAAGAAATTATGATGATGATGATGATGGCGATGGTGACATGCGCATAAATTATCAGGCCAAACAATTTAATGGGTTCCGAAATGGCAAAACATACACACAACACACACACACACAGACATAATAGTCTGCCAATTCGTTTATTATTATTTTCCGGTTATATAAAACGAATGACATACACACACACACACACACAGAGAGAGGGAGAAAATGAAGCAAAAATTATTATTATTTAGGACGGAATTCTAGATCAATCAATCATTATCATATGGATGTAATAATACAAGAATAACTGGGAGAGAAAAAAAATGGAACCAAACTCGATTTGTTCAATTCTGATGATGATGATGATGATGTTGATGTAAATACAAAGCCAATTCTCTACTTTCACATATTTTACAATAAATGATTAGGGCTGTGATGATGGTTGAGCTAGAAACATCAATACACACACACAACAACAACAACAAATGACAACGACAATTGATCGACGACAATTTTTTGTTGCTGTTGTTGTTGTTGTTGTTGTAACAATAACAACAACAGCTGAAAGTGACGAAAGAAACGAAAGAAAGAAATGATCAACTTCTATAAATTCAATTTCTAGGTTTTCCATCATCATCATCATCGTTGACATCGACATTAACAAAATCAAATCATTCAGGGTGATTACGATAATAAATAAATATATATAGTAGATATAAAAAAAATCAATTCTGAACAAACCCGATTTTTTTTCCTTCAGATCAGTAGGTCAATGGGGAATTTGACATTGTTTTGTCATGTCGTTTCGGTTTTTGCTGTTGTCGTCGTCGTTGTCGTCGTTGTTGTTGTTGTTGTTGACATGGATGCAATGACATTCAATTGATTGATTGATTGATTGATTGAAGAAACAAATGAAATTATGAAATGATACAAATTAGAAAAAAAACAAAACCACAAGCAGAAAAATTTGTCCAAGAACGATATTTATGAGGAAACAGAAAAAAAACTCATCACTATAATAATTATCATTAACATTCATTTTTGTCGTTGTTGTTGTTGTTGGCAAATGAATGTCAAGAACAAAAAAAAAAAAAAACAATACTGGCGGCTTGCATGATGGAAAATTGTATATACAATTATCATCTCGTTTAAAACAATGATGATAAAACACTCAAAATAATTTCTCTTTCATTCATTCATTCATCATCATCTGTAAAAGGGAAAAAAAACTGCTCGGCGATGGTAGTGGATTTGGTTTGTTCAACAATCCTAATGATGATGATGATGATCGTAGTCATTATCATCATCATCATCATCATTTAATAATCAATGTGAATCTTATTTTCTAAATTTTTTATTTCGACAGAAAAAAAATTTGGAGAAAATGAAATGCAAAAAAAATGAACTAAATTCACAATTGGTATGCAGAATCGCTTCTTTTTTTTATGGGTACGGGTGGGGCCACCATTCATCCAGTCGACCAACAAATCATCATCATCATCGTCGTCATGAATGTTCTTTTTTTATGGCCAAAAGCACAACATCCACACAACACATCATCATTATTTTTTAATGATAAAATGAATTTGAAACAAACAAACAAATAATCCAAATAAATAAAAATGAAACAAAATGAATGAGAAAAAAAGGAAAAGAAAAAGTTTTTACAAATATCATCATCATCATTATATTGAAGTGAATGTGAAAAAAAAGAAAAAAAAAAAAAAATGAAAATTTAAATTTAAATAAAAATTAAAAGGAAAAAAAACCCAGTGTAATTTAAAATGATTAATGTGCGTGTTGACATCATTGTCGTTTTTTCTGTTGTATATATCGGGAATGATGACGAGCTTTATTTTTTTTCACATCATTTTATTTTGCAAATTTAACATGTGATGATATATATTAATTTTAATAACAAAATTTGAATCAGAAAAAGAGAGAGAGAAAAAGAGAGCAAGAACATGTTCGAAACAAAATCTTCATTTGGACGGTGATTTATAATACAAAAAATAAATAAATAAAAGTTACAATTTTCATTATTATTCAACAGTAACAATCATTGCTTCACCTGGATCTAATTGTAATGATTTCATTATAAGAAATTCACTTGTACGATTAATATTGGTTGCCATTTGTATGATTGAAAAATGAAATTTATCTGAAAAATCTCTAACAATTGTTTCATTGCCTAGATTTGCAAACACAACATAACGATAACGTTTGTATTTGGATAATACATCTATATCATCGCCAGTCATTAATCGATGATGATTATCGACCGTTGTGATCATTGTTGATGATTTGGATGGATTTATACGATCAAAATATTGTTCCAATACGATGGTTGTTTGATCAATGTAATGGAATAGATAATTTATTCGATGATTTAATATGGATGATTTCGATTCTTTGGTCAGCAAATTCTTTTTATTATTTTGATTATTAGATGATGTTGAAAATTGTTGATTTTGATTTAAAGATTTGGTCTCCAAATCATCAATATAAAGAAAATCCAAACGAAAATTAATCAATTCGGCAACAATTTTAACCATTTCTGAACGTTTTTCCACATTAATATGTGTATAATCCGGATGAATTGGTAACCATGATGATGTGGATACATTTGGCAGACTAAAATTACCATTCGGTGATTCTGATGACCATGCCATTGGACATAGTTGACTGCCGATGAAAACCTTTTTTTTTATTTGAATAAAATGACAGCAAAAAAAAAAAAAAAAAATTATTTCAATAAAACAAAAAGAGTATATTGACCAAAACAAGAGAAACAAACAAACAAACAAAAAAAAAATGTCATCCAGTCATTTTTTTTTTTTCATTTTTCAATTTTCACTCATTTTGATTAATTAATTAATTAACTTTTAATCATTGAAAATAAATCCCAATTGGGATTTCATTTCATTCATTCATTCATTAATGGATTCACATTCATTTTGAAAATCTTTTTGTTTTCCAGTTTAACCATCATCTGGATGAATAATTTCATTTCAATGTTGAAATTTTTATTCAAGTCCTTGTTGTCTGTTTCGTTGAATTATTATTTTCATTTCTTTTTTTTGTTGTCGTTGTTGTTGTTGTTTTACAAATTAAGCTGATTACACACACACACACACACACACAGTAGTGGCAGCAGTACTGAATATTCCGGTGAATAATAATGATTCGAGTTGGAAGCAAAACATCAACAACTAAACATGTGACACTGGGAAAATTTTTTTTTACAAAGTAAAAAACTTGGTATCACATGATACCTAAGACTTGGTGTGTTGAACATGTTGACGATCCAATTAAATTTACCACCATGATTCGTATGATGAGATAATAATTGACAATTTTTTTCATTTTTTTTTTTGTTTGTCAAAAAAATGAAAAAATCGTAATATCACATTATATTTGATGATGATGATGATGACAAACATGAAAAATGTCAAATATAGTAGTAGTAGTAGTAGTGACAATACAAATGATGGATTTTTTTTCAGTGAAAAAAAAACCAATCATAGTGGTGGTCAGAAAAAGTGTTGACATTAACACTGTCACACACACACTAACAAAAATTGTCAAAAGATGAGAAGGATTTTATTTTATTTGCTTCTCATCATTTTATTGTTGAAATTGAGAATTAAAAAAAAACTGCAAACAGTGTGAAGAGAGGTCATATCGTCATCATTAAAAAGAATTTTTTTTTCTGCAACGACAAAATTGTCATTTCTTTTCTTAAATTTTTTTTATTTGTGTCTATTAGACAAGCAACAGCAATAAAAAAAAGTAACAAAAACCTGAATGAAATGAAATGAAAAAAGAAATCATATCACGAATGTTTAGGATTCGACATCGACAACTACAACAACAACAACAGCAAGAAATTTGAAACCACGAAAAAAAATCAAGATTTATCAGTGACATTTGTTTATTTTGCGTTTATTCGATTAGTCAGAATAATAATCACATAGTATCCGAAACCCAAAAAAAAAAAAAAAAAAAAGAAAACAGAAAAATCCATTAAAAATAAATCACCACCACCAGCACAATAATGATGAAACGGAAAAACATGGGGCAGGGGCCACTGATGATGATGACAATCATCATCGAATTTGTTTTTTTTCCCATAATCATCGTCATCATCATTATCAAACAAAATGGAAAAATCTTGCAACCAAAAAAAAAACAACAGCAAAATTTTCTTGAATCATTTGATAATTATCGATTCGACAAGATTTAATGATTTTTTCATCTTTTCCACTTAGATGTATGTGATATGTGATTTCAGACAAAACAAAAAACAACCAAAGATTATCACAAACGATTAATGATGGTTGCTGTTGTTTTTTTGTTTGTTGTTCAAATGGAGAAAAAAAAACATTGGGATAAATCAATTATGTTTTGATTTATATGAAAAAATATCAAACATGGGCAAAACAAAACGAAAAAAAAATGAAAAAATTTCATAGACGTGATCACATGAATCACGAATAAATTGAACTGAATCAGATTCATTTTCGTTTCATTTCGATTCATTAAATGAGCTTTGAATGTCAAAATGTCCTTAGTTTACAAATATATGAAAAACATACACAAGGATGAAAAGGATCGAGATTAGTTATTTATCTATATTGCTGTTGTTGTCGTGTTTATTCAGACAGATTCTCTCAGAGGTTTTAAGAACCGAATGTCCAAGACAATGCAATAATCGAAAAAAAGGAAAAATTAAAAAAAAACTTTTCAGATCCTTCGAAACTAAATTCTCGTGTGAATGGCTTCTATGTTACATGTGTTACAAACACTCAAGCCAAAAATGAAAAAAAAACAAGTCATCCGATCAATAATGAATGAAACAAGTGAAAAAAAATCAAGTACAAAAGCAGCACCAAGTAATAATGATAAACAACAAGCGATAAATAAGGGGAGAAAAGGAATTTTTTCATTGTTGTTCAAAATTCAAAAAAAAAGACAAAATTCGTTGTCATCCACCACCAATTGGAATGTTCAAAAGAAACTCAAAATCGGAATTTTTGTCGCCATCATATAAATGAAAAAAATGATACGAATCGAATCCATTATTTATATTCGTGGATTCTCGATCCACAAACAAACAACAAACAACCAAACATACATCAAGTCGAAAAATGGATAGAGACAAGTTTTTTTTCTGTTTTGGTGGCTATTACAATTCCAATTTCAAATATATGAAAAAAAATTGGTTTGATTGTGTGGCAGCCCACCGATTATTATTGCTTGATGATTGTATGTTGGCTGAATGTGGATGTTGTTTTTTCAATAGTTTGTTATTGGTATCTGTGTGTGTGTGAAATAAACAAACAAAAAGATAATCCCAAAGAATGGGAAAAAAACTTTTTATTTTTCACATTTTCATTTTCACACATAAACACATCTCCAGCGGGAAAATAAATGAATATTTCTTTCTTGTTTGTTTCAACACTTTTTTTTCATTTGTATTCAGCCCCCAAAGATTGGTCGATTTATTTTTATCATCCATGGTCATTGTTTGGTTCGAAAATCAACATTAAATATTGGGGAATTTTCATTCAAAAAGTCAAGAATTCACATATTCTTCTCCTAGAATCGCATAACAACGAAAAAAAAAAAAAAAACCATTCTCTTTCATTGATTTAATGTGCATGTGTGTGTGTATCACATGTCAATAAACAAGATCGATATTAATATTTTTTTTTTATTATTAGGTCATATCATCATCAACAACAACATTGAATCTTAATGGAGAGAGAGAAAAAAAAAAAAAAACACCTAGACAATGGCTGGAAAAAAAAAATTGGAAACATTTTCATGTATTAATAACAATAATAATAATAATACAACAAATGAAAACTTGATCAAGTGAAAAGCCATTGATTTTCATATATTCAATATTTGTTATTGTTGTTGTTTTTATTCTGTAGATAGGAATATGGAATATTTCCATCAAAATCACAAAGTCACTGAATGTTAATTATCTTGTTGTGTGTATGTGTGTGTGTGTGTAAGAAAGCCAAAAACCAATCAGCTTTTATTACACAACATATCGAAGGTCAATAGTTAATTAATATTGAAGAAATAAAGAAAGCAAAACAAGAAATACATTTCAAATCACAAAGAATTTAGCAGAATTTCATTGTTTTTATTCTGTAGAAAGGCAATTTATTTATGAGAAAGTTTTTATTTTCAAAAAGGGAAAAAAAATTCAATTTTTTTTCTTCTTCTTCTGTTAAAATTGACCAAAATAGTGACCGAAAACAATTCTATAGAATGCATCATCATTATTATATATATATAAATGCCAACAAATTCAACTTGGAACTATCCAATTCAAACAAAAAAAAAAAAAAGAAAAGAAAAGAAAAAACTTTTAATTCACGCTCATTTCAATCTATATATATATATTTTGTTTGAGTCTCACATTCATTCACTTTTTTATCAAGCTCATCATGATGATGACGATGTTATTTTTTTTTTGTTCTCGTAAGAAAAACAATATTCTTGCCCATTGACAGAAAGCCATGCATGGAGAGAGAAAAGGAAAGAATATGATGATTGCCTCGCTAATGATGATCAAAACAGAAACCAACAAAAGCAACGAATTAACTTTCATAAACAACGGAACAACCAGAGAATATATAATAAAGTTGAAGAAATAAAATAAAATGTCATCATCATCATTTTTTTTATCTTTTCCTTGAAAATAAAAAAAAAATCTTTGCAAGTTGATCGTTCAAATTTTTGTTGTTGTTGTTGTTGTTTTATTTTTTATATCATTGTTTTTGTTTCCACTTTGCACACCCAAAAGTCCAACAGCATCATCATCAGCAAGACATCATAATAATCATGAAATGATCGTGATCATAAAAAAACAGAACAAACAAACAAACAGAAAAAATTGATAACATCTAACACGAATCAAATCGCTGTGTAAAGTAGTCAAAAATCATCATCGCTGTTCAACTGTTTTCAGTGAAAAAAAAAGGAAAAAATTTTTCCGATTTCTGTTTTCACTGAAATCATTCACACTTTAAAGATTTTGATTACAACAGTAAAACATGACTTTTTTGCGTTTTTTTTTGAATGTTTTTACGCAATTTTTTCAGTAAGTGTGTGTGTGAATGAATAAATTAAATATAGTCAAAATTATTCGTGACAACAACAACAACAACAACAAAAAAAAAATGAAACAATTGAAAAATGAGCAAAAAGTTTCATTTCAAACTTTACAACAACAACAACAACAAAAAAAAAAAAAAACTAAAAAATGAAAAATAGCAATCATCATCCATCGATAGATATTATTGCTGCTGCTACGATGTTTTTTTCATACTATTTTCAAACAAACAAACAAACGAAAACAAATGAAAAAAAAATGAAATTCAATAATCTACTTCTATACTGGAAAGGAAAAAAGAAAAGAGAAAAAAACTTTTTCTGCATCTTCTTCTTCTTCTTCTTCGTAAGATATTAATGCCATTCTATGAATTCTGGCAGTAAATAAATGTGTTCTGGTGTGTGTGTGTGTCATCATGAATATAAATTATTCGAGAAATGAGAAAAACTTTGGTCATGATAGGAAAATTTTCATTTTTGCAAAAAAAAAAAAAGCCTTTTCAAATATTTATCATTAGAATATACAGCCGATGATTAAACAAGTAGCAAAATGAAAATAACATTG